ATTGTACAATATTTATTGTATAAAATCATGTTAAATATCTCAAAATTATAACAATATACCACTTTGTACACTGCCTGTTGTTCTTTAAATCTCTAGCTTGTTTTTGCAAATTTCATCCACTTGACCCAAAGGCTTCCCTTTTCTCTCAACCGATCCATTTTTTCTTTACATCTGTTTTGCAATTTGATCCTTAGTCATTCTCTCTTTATGTTCAAATTATCTCGGTGTTCTGGTCATTCTCATTCCTTCTTGAGTCTCCAGATGGTCATCACTTTTTTTGGAACTATCTAGTCTTATTCCTAACTATCCATTCAAGCCACCTAATAGCATACTTTTTTCCCCTGGATTGCTTACGTTTGGATGCAATCATTCAGCAGTGCAAATCTTTTTTCTTTCTTTTTTAAAGCAGAGCTACAGACTGATCTCCAAGCCAATCCAGGTTTTGAAAGAAATGGGCCTTTTGTGGAACTGATAGGACGCAGCCATGATATTTTGGAGAAAGCAGGACGGTGGCTCGGAGATATTATATTGGTTGAGGAAACTGGACGGATTGTTATACGGAATCATAACATTTTAAACCTGAGCAGTGTCCAGCCTCTCGAATTGTCTCACCTTCAGCAACATTTTGGCATTAACATCCTGGAGAGTGCAAGTGGAGCAGGGGCAGCCCTAGAGATCGAAGGGTCTCCCCGAGCTGTGATTGATGCAGCCTTTGCAATTGAATTCATGCTACAGTCTACAGCCAAGCAAGAATCTCTTAAGATGGATGGTACGTAGAGTTGTATGAGCATATTCCACTGATAACAGATATTAATCTAACCTTTAAGAATTCACGGAAAATCTTGGTTTAATTCACTTTTTTAAAAGCAAGCTTCTAATCCTTAGCAACAGCAGTTTTAGAAATTTACGTAATCTTTATTAAACTTAAAAGGAGTTTCGTTTCAGCATCTCACTCTGAATTGCCCAATGCTTACTAACAGCAAATAGTGGACGAGCAGAATGCTGAGACAAACCTGCACAGACATAAGTTGTACCTTTAAATGTTTGTATCATGACTTTATTCTTATAATGTAGAAAGTAATATAAATCCATATCAGATAAATTAAAATAGCAGAATTCTACAATGATAGTCTGAACATGCTCTGCTCTAGGAAAATCACCCAACCATCTTTTTCAGAAAGCCATTCTTATCCATTTTTTGTTAAATCATATAAACTAGTACAGCATTAGAATATTATTTAACCTCTGTTGTCAAGTGCTCGGTTTCATATTGCAAATTGCAATAAAAATCGTACATCTTTTAACATATAAGTGGAATCCATAGAGGATCTGAACTTTGAAACAACATATAGTAAATGAAAAAATTATTTTAGTCGTGTTGGCTATATTAACTATTTTTTTCTTATTTCATCTTAGAAATATCATTTGCGCAAATGTCCTGAGTCAGAAATACCCCAAATGGGTGTTTAAAATGTTTCTCATTTGAGTGTGTGTGTGTGTGTGTGTGTCTGTATACATACTGTATACTCTCAATTTTTATTTTCTAATTTTCTACAGTTGCTATTGTGGCTTATTTTATTTAGCTTTGGTTTATTTTTAAAAAAAGTCTGTATTTTTATTTATTTATCTTTTTATGTTAACACAAAAGTTTTTAAGGGTATATTATAGCATAGCATTATGCTATATTTAATTTTTTTCTTTTATAGAACAAATGGAATTAAAGAGCACCATCCCATTCTTTTAAGTTTCCAGCTTATTTTTCAGTATGAAAATCTTGGTTTAATTTTTATTAAGCAGTGTATTATCTGCATCCAGGATCTTTGGAGAGCTATCCTCATCAAGAAGGGGATCTGGAGATGGCAAACAGATGCTGTTATCAAATCACCCCAATAGAGTCTTACCTTCAAGAATTCAAGGACAAAGAAAAACAGCTCGAAAAAGCCGGCCTCCGGGTTCTAAAGGTGAATAGCAAAATAATGCTAGGGGAAAATTGTGTTGCATTATAGATGTATCAAATTAACCAAATTTAAGCAAATAAGATTGAAATCTACTGATTGACAGGGTTTCAATGAAGAAGTCTCTGAATGATCCAAACTGCAAGTTAAACTGGGCATTAACTGGTTACCACTTCTCCTTTTGTTTGAAGAAGCTGACTGTTCAGTGCTAATGATGTCAATTTTGGATCTCAGGTTCGCTTTCTGTGAAGAAAAAAAAAAGATTTAATCCATTTGAGGGAATTAAGATTATTTAATCCATCTGATTTGCTGATTTCTCAATTTTCAGCCGGAAACATGATCTTCCATACAGCTCTGGAGGAGTCCCGGGGAAGCTTTTATGGCAGTGGTTCTCAACCTATGGGTCGGGACCCCATTTGGGGTCGAATGACCATTTCACGGGGGTCGCCAAACAAGGCTGTCCGCCATTTTTTCCCCCTTTTCTTTGGCCACGCCCCTGGCACCCAGTGATGTATAAGTGGTTGGGGGTCACCACAACATGGGGAACTGTATTATGGGGTCGCGGCATTAGAAAGGTTGAGAACCACTGTTTTATGGAGTCATATTGGCCTGTAGGAGTTAGCATAACTTGCCTCCTTCTCCCTTCCATTATCAGGAGCATCCTATAAAACTGAGGATTCCCTGCTCATGGAAAATTGGGAACTAATTGTAAATCTAACACAACAGTTGCTTGTGTGTGTATGTTTGTGTTTAATCAACCACCAATCTTGGGATTAATAGACAATGTGTCACTCTGAGCAAATCATTAGATAGTGTCAGTTTCCTACAAATTATGAGCTCAAGCTAGATTTCAGAAGACACTACAGAATTCCAAAATATTGTCTAATTAAAACTAATATGTTTATGACAAACCTGAAAAAGGATAATGACTAACAAGCAATGACCTAATTTGTATTGTGACTGGAAAAATACACAGGCTTAATATTTCACAGAAAACAAATCCATATTCTGGAACAAAATCTTGGTTGAACAATGATTTATTTGTACAGAAAACAGATAATCCTTGAGTGCGATGTTTCTTTGATTCAACTACCTGGATTTCCTCCAGAATCTTGAAGACACATACCAGGCAGCATCTCTCGTGTGAGGAAAGGTTTGCGGGAATATGCAGTTTCTGCTGGTTGGCAGGCAAATTACATTCACAGTCATTACATTACTGGTAATAAACAGGGTACATCCTTACTGTTTGTTTTTATTACAGATAGAGAAAATACATAACCCTCTTTTAGAATCTGCTTTCCAAAGGGTAAAAAGGAAAATAGAAGGAAGAAATACTGGAATGCCTGTATGCCATAGATTGTACCATCATGTCCCTGCTCAGTATTGTAGCCTGGTGTGCAAAACTGGATTTCAGAAAACTGACTCCTCATCACAAGGTAAACCAGATACGTTGCTGTAAATGCTGTAGAAAATGCAGAATATTTTTTTAGTGTATTAAATACCCTATTCATGTGCAAACTGAATACCTTTGAAACAACACAAACATGACTTAAAAGTTGGTATTTTACAACCGGTTGTTAAATTTTAATTTCTATACTGGTGAGAAACAAGATTGGAGTTTTCATTCTTAAGTGTAAGGAACCTAAACTACAGGACTAGATTGTGGTGCCTCTCTTATGTCCTCTTGGGCTTCGCATCCAGAGTTGGCAGTAAATTAGACTACCAGATACTTAACTCTCAATTCACTTCTCAGCTATTATAGGCAGAAAGATTAGAAACTAGAGGGTAAGCAAGAATTCAGCCTCAAACATAGAGGCTGATTCCTCACTGCAGACCATATATCTATATTCCAGGGTATAAACTCTTTAACTTTCTACCTCTCGTCCATTTGAATTAGCAGATTAGCTCGTGGTTTGTTGGTGTACCAAAATACAATTACATAATGTCTCCTGTCTTAGCCTAAGAATTAATGGGGCTCATCTCTCCAACCTCAGCTTTAATTACTCTATTTCTAATTGTTATGTGTTATTATTATAGTGGTTATTTTCAGCATGATTCCTAAATTTGATTACTGTAGTCAAATTAATCCTTATTAGTTCTGCCTAGTATATGGTTGAAAGACTAAAGACACTGCAGTCAGCTAGTCATTTATATTGCCATTGTAATGAAAATATGGTAAAACAGCCTGCATTTTGTCTTGCTTTTCAGATCAGAAATATGGAGCTGGCATCTATTTTAAAAAGAACCCCCGGAAACTTATAGCAGATACCAGAGAAAAATGTGAAATGGACCATTTGATCTGTGTGTTTGAAGCAGAAGTTGTAACAGGGTCATACACAAGGGGCAATCGGAGTTATGTAGCACCACCATTAATTAACACAAGCAGTAGGAAGCTCTACGATAGTGTGGTTGATGACATTCATAACCCTGAAATCTTTGTCATTTTCAATAGGGAACAAGCTCTACCCTTGTACTTACTGACATGTTCTCTGCTTTGGAACCCTGATCAGAAGGCAAGCTTGGAACCATCATCCTAGAATCTCTGAAGCCTTAATGCTAATTGAAACAAAGACACTAGTTCTGTGTTAGATTAAGTAATAAACTTATGGCAGTTCAGTAATGCAATGAAAAAAGAAATCCCTGCAACACTATGTTCTTGAAGTCTCCTTATTTTTTAATGTTATTTCAACAAAGGGCAGTAAAAACCATGTCTTCTTGTCTTTATTCTAAAATACTAATTTTAAGCAATCTGAACAGGTGTGTGTGTGTGGGGGGAGTTGTTTTATATTTACTTATTAATTTTACTGTGGTCATTAGCCAGTACAAAAGAACTGATATTCAAATATCCAAAATTAAATTGACCATGTCAGGATTGTTAAGGAAAATACTTATAGACAAAAAAGAATTGGCTAAAAGACAATATTAAATCAAAATACACTAAAGGGTTTGCTCAGGCTACACATATGCAACAAGAGGAGATTAAAATTAGCAATCGGGATAATATAAACTTTGAAATAGCAGTATAAAATATAAATGCAATGCAAATACTGTACACATATACGTATATTTGCAAATAAAACAAAATTATCAAGGTTTAAGAATTATAAACTTCTCTTACAAAACCTGAAAAAAATATAACACAATAGTTGACATGGCATTTACATTCCAAAGCAAATGGTTAATGCAGAGCCTCAGCCATTTCTGGCTATCCATACTTAGGGATGTTCAATTGGTCTTAATTATTATTATTATTATTGCCTGATTAGATAGATCTTCTTAGGCCCACAGAATGAAATGGCTACATGGGGAAGGTAGTTATAGGGCTCTTTTAGCACATAGTACAAAGAGCTGAAAGTTGACTTCATAGGCATGCAGTATGTCTGGTATCAATTTTACTGATCATAAATCTAAACAAGATATATTTAGCCTTTCACTGAAGTACATATCAAGTTTTTTTAAAAAAATATGCTTAAAGGGATAAAAAACATTCTAATGAACAAACTGACTCTTTTATTCTGCGCTATTTTATTAAAATGTCTCAAGTAAACAATTTCTACATTAGTCAGTTTCCCTTCAGTGTCCCTATATAACAAAATAGATTACACATAACTTTACATACATATTTGGCCTTCTAGTGAATTTTCTATGCTCTAACTTAAAAAAAATCCATCACCGACTAAATGAACAAGTACATATTAATGTTGTCAATTACCACAGTAATTGAAATCCCTGATATTTTTATCTGCATTAGTCTCTGAAAGCTATTCCAAGACTTCTGGAATTTCGCCATCATCCACAATGAGCATGTGAAGAATTCCTTCCCTTCTCTTCCCACTGCTGATAGCTTTGATATAACAGTTGTGCTTTCCAATACTGAAATGTGTTTCTGTCCCGTCTTCTACAAATTCACCCTGACAAAAAAAGATTTAAAAATCCACTTAATGATTTTCAAATGCTTCAAGCCTTCATTAGCTATCAAATTATTTTAGTTTCAGCAAAGCATAAAATATTCAGAGTTGCAGCATACCAACAGGACAAGCTTAACCTTTAACTTTTCGTGATTTTAGGAATTTCAGAAAAGATGCCAATTCAATTTGAACTGTATCCATGCAATTGTTTTATTGCTTTATGTACTGTATGGCATTTTTCAAAGAAGAGTCCAATTTATTTTGTAGTAAAGTTTAGTGGTAAAAGATTGGGAAAGACCAAACCTTCTGTTGCTCTTCTGAGGTATTTTAATCTGGAAGCTGATGCCAAGCTTCTGGAAGAGGGAAGTCCTTTCTGTTTTGTAAGGGGCATAAGCATTCTAGAACAGGGGTCCCCAACCCCCAGTCCAGTACCGGGCCGTGGCATGTCAGCAACCCGTGTGCACAAACAAGCAAAGCCCCATCTGCGAGATGCAGGCAGCACACAAAACCAGGGCCCCTCTGATTCGCAGAAAAACCTCTCTCCACGGAATCGGTCCCTGGTGCCCAAAAGGTTGGGTACCTCTGTTCTAGAACATGCATGAATCTCTGTATTTTTTCTACCTCCCAACCACTAAACTAAGCAATAAAAGGAGCTCCAGCAGTAGCAAAGGTAGTGAGAGCCTTCCAATACTGACATACTTGTGTCTGGAGGTTATGGTTTTCTGCTGAAGGAAGGAAGAAAATTCAACTTAGGGAAAGAACCTGTTGTGAGACAGTAAAGATGAGTTGGAGTGCTGAAAGACTAAGAGGAAGACGAGGGGAAGCAGCAGTCAAAGGAAAAACAATTTTCAGCCAGGATCACATGAGGATTTTTGTAAGCCCCATACATTTTTGCTTTGGTGAGGCTTCTTCTTCCATAAAAACAATAATATTAAAAATTACATTCCATAGGATTTTCAATATTTTTGTGGTTTATTTTTACAAAGAAGCAGGGAGTAAATAAACATTATTCTGTAATAATAATGTTGTAGCCAGTTAATTATGTCTGTTATATATGGCTACAAACAAGATAACTGGTTTGTTGTTTATGTTTTGTGAGTTTCTTGCATGTTTTTATTAAAAGGTGGTGAAATATATATTTGTTAAAAGGCACCAAAATAAGTAACTTCCACTTCATATTTTTTGTGGGTCATTTGCCTATCATGCCTAATGGATAAGTCAATCCTATTTTCAATAGTGAAACAAAAAATTATTTATTTAGTGTATGGCAATGAAACAAAGAATGGAGATACAACAGTTTGGAAAAGCTGAGTTTTGCTTCCAAATGACTCATCTCATTCAACAGAGATGTATTGTACAAACTCCACTAGAAGGAAAGTAGTAACCTGATGACAAAAGGCTGATAAGAGAAAGAGAAATGAAAGTGAAATTTGATAAAAGTGACTGAGATGAACTCAGCATCACTTGGAGATAGTCATCAATTTGGAGACCCAGTGCAGTAGCTTGTGCTTTATGTGAGGTATGTAAACAAAAAGAAGCCTAGTAAAGATGAAGCTGCACTTTTGTATCTGCTCAACAGCACTCTTGTATGGTAAAATACAATTCTGCTCACCTTTCTTGTGTCTTTATCATCTAAAAATGAACCTGTGATACCATCATAATTGTTAAATTTATATCTTATTTTATATCGGGCTGCTGCAGAACTGTAACTTCCACCATCTAAAATCAGTAGAACTGTTGGCAGGGTTAGCTGAAAGTTTTCAGCAACATTTGGAAGGCCACAGGTTTCCCACCCATAATAATCTTTAAAATTCTATAGGATTATGCTCGTTAGGACTGCTTGTTATTCAGCTGTCCCAGTTATTTTAATTGTCTTAATTCTCCATTAATTGGGAGAAGAAAGATGCTATTAAATATCCTCTCTAACCATATGACTTAACTATTTTCAACTAAAATAATCAAAATTGAAATTATGTTTTTATATGTTACATACCGCTGTCTCCACTTTTTTACCATTGCACCAAACATCCATTGTGTCTTTCTCTATATAAAAAAAGGATTGTTACATAAATTATTTTATACAATTTCAACATCTTAAATATAAGTGAAGTTGTACCCAGACCAAAGCTCTTCTATAGTTTGCATTGTCTTTTATTTTGATTTAGTTCTACAAAATGCTACAAATGTATTTCTAATTGCATTCTGGTCCAGATGAAATCTCATTATATACATGATAGTTCTCTAAGAATGCTGTTTATACAATTACAATATAGTGCTTTTGTAGAAAATAAAGTTAACAGTCAAGTGGCCACAGAATGCTGATGGAATATTGAGAAAAAGAATCCAATGGAAGGAAGAATAAAATGAATGGTATCCTTAAGGGAAACACATAAAACTGTAACAAATAATAATAATAATAATAATAATAATAATAATAATAATAATAAAGTTGGAAGGGACCTTGGAGGTAATCTAGTCCAACCCCCTGCTCAGGAAGGAAACCCTATACCATTTCAGACAAATGGCTGTCCAGTCTCTTCTTAAAAACTTCCAATTACAGGTCCTGCTTATTCTATGACTGCAAGAACGTTAAGTACCTATTAATTTAATAGCAAAATGGATTCAATCTGAAAAAGGACAATTATTTCTATGTAAAAGATGTCTTATGTATATAACTTGTCAATTTTTTACTTTAAAAATAGTATTTCTGAAAAATTCAAAACTGCCTAAAAGGAAGCTGTGACTTTTTGAAAATTATGGTGGCTCCTGAAATTGGGGGGCAGATGAATGTGCATTGTTATCAAGCCTATAGCTGATGCCCGTTTCAAAGAAGGACTTTGATTCTGGTAGTCTTTCTGCAAGCAGAAAGGCTTCTAGAATGCTGCATGTGACTTTTTTTTTTTAGATATTATAATTGCAGATACAGGTTGACAGTAGACACAGATTTATTTACAACGTGCTGCTATTATCTTAAAACAAGCTTATTAGTCAGCATCCTTAATTCTCAGTTATGCCCATAGCCACATTTATATATCCAACATGATGTTTTCTGGATTTATAGTAATGTTGTTTTCTACTTTGTTATGAGATAATGCATTGCCAACAATACATAGTTAAGATTCAACAATAAATGTAAACCAATGCTAATAAATTACAAACTACTTAGCTATTAAAACTTAACCCTAATTTAACAAATCCTTTTCAGATCCAAGAGATCTTGTAGTAATCCCAGGGTATATAAGTAATTTGATTATGTGCCATGAAGACACTGTCAACTCTAAGCCATCACACATATTTTCTATAAAGATTCCCTTAGTATTTATTTCAAATAAATGGGAAATAGCATTAATGCACTCTGGAAAGTGCCAAAATACAACTAAAATAATACATGAATCATACAAGAGACTTCAGGAAAACTAACTTACCTAAAACAACTCTAAAATCTGTACCATCTAGGTGTAATACCCAAGTGTTCGTTGTTTTTGACCGATTCTCCAGATATTTCTTGAGACTTTTTCCATCTATTTCCAGGGTATATTCATATGCAAATCCACTGACTGCATCAATATTAATAGTAGCCTTTGTGTTAGCAGCTCCAACTGTAAATGTCTCCTTTCCCACTAATTTAAACATCCATTCTTTTCTTATTATTTCCTATGGATGAAAAAAAGACATTTAATACAAACATATTTTTGCTTCAATTCTGAAAACTTGACTGCCATAAAACCACTCAACATTTTGTTTTATTATTTAAAAAATTGATCAAATCAGATGTAATCAAAAGACTTTTTATCCTGTCATCCTATTGTATAGTAATATTTCCTAACAAGAACATAGAATCTAAGTCACAGGAATTAATTATTAAATGCTATTCTGCCCTGATTGTATCCCATTTCTGAGACACTTTACACTTCAAAAACAAAAGAAAAGAGCAACTGGAGAGCAAGTTCAGAGGATGTTTATTAACATGGTGAATTGTTATGATTTGTTGCAGTCAGTGAGATGTTTAGACTGGATTTGGCATTTTATCCACCTATCAAGTCCTTCCAAGGATCTAGGATAGGTAGATGTTGTTTGATGGTGTTAAAATACTGTCACAGGATTATTATTATTATAATTATTTTAAAAATTCCTAAGCATTCTCCCGCACATGCAGGGTCAAGAAAACAAACTATATCAGGAAAGGTAAATACATGTATATACGTTTAGATAACTGAGGGGAGACATGATAGCAGCCTTCAAATATCTCAGGGATTGTCACACAGAAGAGGGAATGGACTTATAACTGTCACCTTATAGAGCTGCATGTAACTCCAAAACTATAAGAATAAGATTCAGGTTAAATGCCAAGATTCTATAAACTATGAGCCAATAGTGTAGATTGCCTCATAAAGTGGTGAGTTCTCCTTTGCTTGAGGTCTTAAAAAGAACCTGGGTGTCTCTATTAGGGATGATCTACTGGATCCTGCACTGAGGAAGAAGTTGGACTAGGTTATCTTTTAAGTCTATGATATCAAAAATATAACGGTTGTGAAGAATAGATATGCATGTACCAGGATATACAGTCGATGAACGTTCTTTCAAATATACTTGTATGCACTTCATATTTACATATTTAAAAACTAAAATGCCTTAGAATACTTTCCCCCCCTTTGTAGGACTAATCCTACAAATGTACAATAGTACAGTTATGCTAGGGAACTTAGTTTATGAAAGGATAATAAATTAATTTGCTGTATAATAAATGTAGTGGCAGAGGGTAGAGGCGCTTGTATGATTTGCTGTCTCAGTAATATAAATTCTTTGATCTTGGGTATTATACAACTTAGCTTGGACATGGGGAAGAGATGACATTTATTGCTGTTGTATAGGCAAGACCTTAAATCACATTTAGAAAAAGTATATGCTACAGTAATAGGCACTCACCAAAGGAAACAATATAGCTGAACCTGATTTTTTATTTGGACAAATGGGACAGGAAGCTGGAAGAAGATGGGCTACCTACTCAGTTTCCACTCTCAGACTCATTTCCACAATTTGGGTAAAAACATTTACAGTACTAGTTGGTCACTTGAATGAAATAGATCTAGTCTCCTCTTCCATTGCATGTGCCCACATAAAGAAAATACAGCCAGGATTGATCCTATATAGGATCAATCAAATACATTCAGTTCCCAAAAGCCAGAAAGAAAGTAATCACTGTACTGTCAAGATGCCCTTTTCTTTCCTTTCTACTTACAGTAGTACATAGTATGAAGTATAGTGGGGATGATGTTTCTACTTACAGTAGTACATAGTATGTAGTATAGTGGGGATGATAAAATGGAATGAAAGAAATTAGATAAGGAAAATTATGATTAAAAAGCAATCTGATAAATTAAGCCATCTCTCCAATTAATTGGTTGCTCATTCATCTCTATTATGACTGCAGCATTTCTCAATTTCCCAGTATACATCTGTATACCTTAAATAATGATTTTCTGTATAACATCTGCAGCAAAACTGAAAGCAAGATTCTAGTACCATGAGGCATTCATTCTTTGCACTATGCTGATGTGTGTTTTCAGGAAACAACTGAATTTCCAAACTGGTTATTGTATATGTATACAGTATTGTATATTGTATATTTTCCTGCCAATATTAACAAAGAAAACTAACTAATCTATCAGTTTAAAGCTATGAATATTGTTCTAATAGCCAAAAGCTGAACTCAGCATCTGTTCAGAAGAAAAATACTTCATAAAAACACATTATCTTTAACAACAAATTTTTACAATTTCAATTCAACATTATTATTTATTTAATATATTTGTGTACTGCTTCCTTCACTGGAACATCTCAAAGCCTTTTTTCACTAAAAGCAATAAAATATAATTTCAAAAAGTTAATGAAATACTTATGTAGTCTAAACCTCCTTCTGTAATTTTGATTTCAAATAAAAATTGAGTAATTAAAACTGTTAAAAAGACTCATTTCAGCATGTGTAAAGAGTGGTGTACATAAAGATAGTATTTCAAGTGATAGTTATTTAAAGAAACCTTAATTTATAAATATCTATCACTCATACTTATCAAGGACCCTTCATACTTACCCTGAAATTGGTAGGTTAAAATGCTTTCTTGCTTATCCTCTTTTGGGGTCTTTTGTGAATTTTCCTGCCAGTGCTAATTTATGCCCTTACCAAAATGAGGTAGAGTTCTCCCAATGCCACAAAGCACCTGAATTTATTAGATAATGATGCAACCAATCTCTTTCTCATTGTAATAATGACAGTAAGGATCTGGAGGAATGACAAGTCTCATGAAATAGCTCTCTCTTTTGGCCTCAAAATTCCCACAGAGATCAAGGTTGTTTTGCTGAAAAGCAAATGTTTGGTATAGGAGAAGACAATTGAGGGACCATTTGATAGTATGGGCCATATTTCTCACACACAGAAATCTATTTATGGTAATGAAAACAGGATTAACTCAGTGGCTCATCAGGAGGGAAAGGAATAGAAAGAAAAAGATTAAAGAGAAATGACAACAGAAAAGAAATAAGAAAATAAGCTGGAAGTATGGCCAGAAAAGCCTATCCTCAACACCAGACCTGGGCATTTTATGGCCCATAGGCCGCATCTGACCTGCAGGTAGTCCAAGTCCGGCCTGCAGCATCAGCAGGATTAGGATGTCAGCAGCATCACGGTAGTGTCAGTGACACTCCATAACAGTCCCAGTTTCTCATGTGGCCCCTTGGGAAAATAAATTGCCCAGTCATGCTCAACACCAACTAGAACAGCTGCCTTCAGAAGTACTCTTTTAGCGAACCACATTTTACATGCACCAAATGTTAACTTGTCTTTCCAAGAACTGAATGCATTTTATGTAAATGTCCTACCTTTCCATCTACATACACAACACGCTTTCCTGATGTGGTCCCATGTTCAAATTCAATTTTGTGAACACCATCACTCAGGCCTACTTCCCAGACAGCTACCAGGTCCGTCATTCTGTCTATGTAACTGTAATGAGACGTACAAGAACAAAATATTTAAATATGTACACTTGACCTTCTTCAAGCAGAATTATTCAAAAGTGAAATACACTTTAAAAGTGGCTCCAACTAAGCTAGGCTCTTTTTGGAAACTTAATTACATTTACAGAACAGTCTATGCAGCTCTTTAAATTATAAACTTAGTTTTTATCAAATGTTTTGGTCACTCAGGCATATGCATATCATTATCTATATACATATTTATATTTTACTATACCTAATAAGAAAAAGTGGCATACTACTACATTACATATAGAGCAAAAATCATTCAGCCAATTTTTATTTTTAAACATCTTGTTAAATCCCAATCATAGTCATTTCATTGTTCATAAACTGGTACAAAATCAGTTTATAGACAGAAAATGAACACATATAATTGTTCCAAGCCTAAAAGATTTCTTAGAATATTTATTCCCAGATATTTAAAATAATTTAAACAAATAAAACCCCATTTTTTACAATTTTTATTTAAACCCTATAGAAAATATATTGTTTGATTAACTGAGTAACCTGATAATTTGCCAAATGCAGAATTTACAAAATTATTATTAAACATAATATACCACTGGTTAACAATAATGTGTTCAATCCCAGCCAGTTAAATCCAAACCTTCTCCTGTCTTTCTGATAGAAGGCCTATGGTTCTAACATCAAATTAAATACTGTAACAGATAAGTGCCACAAAACATCTTGACAAGAAAAGCCATTATATTAAATCTAGCAGAGAAATTAGGGAACCACATATTAATACAACCATGGTATTTATTGAATTTTATTTGGTATTTTTATTGATATTCACCACTAGGAGTCATTGTTGATTATAACAGTGTATAAAACAAAGAGACAAATTCATATTTGGCTAAATTTGTTTCAAAAATAGCACTTTCTATACATCTTACTCTATGGGGTACATTTTACCTTATATCTTCATAGTTATTCTCCATCCAAGTTGCCATAGCATACAAAATGGCTTTTAATCCAATTAGCAGCAAAAAAAGAAAAAAAGAAAAAAAGAAACAAAGCAGAAAGAAATAACAGCAAAAAAGAAAAAACTAAGTTACAGATGTTTAAAATAATTGTGTTCATGACAAATTGCCCCTATTTAAAATCTTTTGCCATGAACTGGGGAAAAAAATGCTGAGAAAAGCATTCTAATTTTACTTTTTGATCTTGCCAATTTGTCAATGGTTTGAAATTAATTTGGATACATAAATGCAATTCACCTAGAAATAGTTATTACAGTACTTAGAATCATTCGCTAAAATGCAAGCCAAACCTGTTCCTAAAATGTTTGCAAGTATGCAGTAGCATTTACAACCTTATAAGGTACAAAATAGTTCAACAGATCTTGAACCTCAGTTGAGGAATGCAACATGATGCTACAATCGTTCAGTTATTTAACAAAAATAGGAAACTTCTAAGCTGCTTCCTCCAACATATCAAAACTAATGTTAATGGTCAGCAATCTCTTCCTTCTGGTTTTTACTTTAACTTTTTCATTCTTGCCACTTTTAGAACACAAAGCAGTACAATAAAAAAAGACATAAAATTAAAACAGAAAATGTTACAGCAGCACTCATAGTTTCCCCCATGACTTGAAAAGTTACTTTACTTATAAATGAATAGGCAGAAGACTGGCATGCTATTAAAAAAAAATGATTAAGCCCAGTATTATATGCATTTCCATGTTTTTCATTAAAGTGGAAGAAGGATTCCATAGGCATCCTTAAGAAATAAAAGGTGGGATGGCAATAATTCAATGTTTGGAAGAAACTTATCAAATTATATTAAAAAGACCAAAACAGTGGGGTAATACAGAATGTTCTGTCAAATTTCCAAAGTGGAAATGAATTCTAGTTAATGATGTTTCATGCTACAAAACATTTTCCACAGCAGCCACTTTTAAACTGCTTTTTTCTGACTTTGGCACTTTTTACATATCTGACAAGAACCTGTAGAAACACTTTTCTACTATGAACTAAAACAACGATCAGTTCTGTGATGTGCAGGTTACTAGATTTCTTTGTGTTGATGGAATGCTTAAATTTAAACAGGATTCTTTGCTGAGTTCTCCAAGTTTCAACTGGTGAAAACTACAGCAAAATAGTCTACAAAACAAATTCAATTAAATTCCAGGAATTAACTCTGAATTAAAAAAAGAAATGGCAGTGTGATTATATCACAAATTAAATTTGATCTTGTTTGCCCATATAAGATCTATTCAATAAACCATTATCAGTTGAATTTGCAGAATATGCCATCAAATACATTTAAAAGTCACAAAAACTAATTTCACACAAGGCTAAGTATCAAAATATTAATGCTTACAGTGCTGTACGAACCAGCTAAGTATGTCAATTTTAGCTTTGTTCAACCCATATTTCTGGATTCTTAAAAAATTACTGAAAAAGGGTTATTAGAGGAACAGGCCTCCCTATATAGATGTGGTTTGGGTGACTTTAGTTAAGGGAAGCCCAAATAATTTTTCAAAGTGATTCTTTTTTATTTCTGATTCATCTGAAACAATGAGGCTGGCCTCAAATCCTTGTGTGGGCACAATCATCCTTCCATACAGAAAAAGCCATTTTCCTGTAGAGAAAAATTACAGTGGCCTAAAGAATCATTTGTACCACTCGTGGTTATTTGTCTTTCTATGCAGGAACAGAATTTGAGGTTTATATACAGGTAGTCCTCGATTTACGACCACAATTGAGCTCAACATTTCTGTTGCTGAGATATTTGTTAAGTGAATTTTGCCCCAATTTATGACTTTTCTTGCCACAGTTAAGTGAATCATTGCAGTTGTTGAGTAGTTAAGTGAATCTGGCTTCTCATTGACTTGCTTGCCAGAAGATCACAAAAGGTAATCACATGATCCTAGGCCACTGCAACCATCATAAATAGGAGTCAGTTGCCAAGCATCTGAATCTTGATCACATGACTTTGGGGATATGCAATGGTCATAAGTTAAGTCACTTTTTAGAGTGCCGTTGTTAACTTTGAACGGTCACTACATGAACTGTTGTAAGTCGAGGATTACCTGTACTCCTATTTCTAGATACTCGCATAACCTGGTTTAACTCCTTCTGGATCAGAAAAGAAAAAGCCCCCCTTCCATGACGTTTCTGAAGGAAACGACCATTCGGCCCCACTTCCACCATGGCCAACCATTAACGAAGACCCACTTTAACGCTGTTCTGAATCCGGTTTAACAACGGGGAGGCGAATTCGGTCCGAAATAAGCCGCAAGAGAGATGAAACCTAAAAGGCCGGCTCTACCTGCCTCAGGGACAGAGCCTCTCGCCTGCCTGTCCAAAGCAAGGCCTGGTCCGGGTGGGAAGAAGGCCCCGCCGGCTTCAGGTGAGGATAGCGCGTCTCCCAGTCCGAGGAGAGAGGGACGGGGGCAGCCAAGGGGGGAGCGGCTTCTCCCCTTTCCCCAAGAAACCCCGCTGCGCCTCCCGCGGGGCTTTTCACGTTTCTGAGAGCCCGCGACTCTCAATATGGCGGTGCGGCCCAGGAAAGGAAAGCCAGCGCGTCGCCTGGAAAGCGCAGTCGGCGCATCTCTCCTTCCCTGGCAACAGGCGCGCACACGCGCTGGGCCCGGCCGAGAGACGCGTCCCGGAGCCTCCGCTGCCCGCCTGAGCGCCTCCTCATCTCAGCCGACGCCGGGCTTCTCCCTAGCTCCGCCTCTGGAAACGCCTCGCAAAGCTCCCCCCGCGCTCCTTTCTGTGCCTTTTCGGGCTTTCCTTTCCGCCCACATCGCCTTCAAAGGCTCCCCTCCACCGGGGCTGCCTTCTTCATCGCAATGAGTGTTTTCGGTGAGCCGTTGCTCCCGAGAATGGCTTACTCCGAGAAAGTCTGCAGAATCTCGCAAGGGTCGCTTCGGCTCCGCTTCTATGCTGGACCTTCTGGTTATTCCAGAAGGTAGAACAAGCAACGATTAGTTTAAATTGCAAGAAAATCGATTTTATTGGACATCAGAAAAAAAAAATCCTAATGGTGAGAGCCAATTAAAAAAAAACAGATTACTTTGGGTGTGTGTGTGTGTGTGTGTGTGTGTGTGTGTATTCTGTTTCAGTGGAGTTGCTAAACAGTCTGAATGACTATCTTTTAGGGATGCTGTAGTAATGGATTCCTGCACTAAATGGAGATGGACTAGATGATCTCAAAAGCTCTTTACAGTTCTTACATTCTATGGTTCTAACGTGCTAATCTGTAATTAGCAGTCAGTCCAACAAATTTAGTGAGTTTGCACAAAATACCAAACCATAAACTGTCTAAACCACTGGCTTTGCATATCATGTTGAGAACTAACCAGGCACATTTTAGCTTGGCATTTTGGATGAACAGTTATAATCTTGTTAATAAAGTGGGATAAAAATAAATAAAAATACGGGAAAAAAACTTTTTAGAAATAGAAAAATACTCCCCCCCCCCAAATAGGATCCTAAGGAAAAAATGCCTATGTCATGTTTTCAGTACAAAATAGGGAGCTTTTTTTCCTGACCCCGTTAAGTTCTTTTGTGGTATTTTATTGATATTACCAGCAGGTACAGAGAAGCAGGTGTTAAAAATGGAAATGAGTTCTCTCCTCCATTGTTTTGTTTTTGATCACTAAAACAATTACGGTACAGAGGATATTGATGCTAACGGGCTAGATCTCTTCTCTGGAGGCTCAAGACCCTCCACTTTCCCCCTCCCAGAGCATTCTTTTTTTTAATTTTAAGTAAGAATGCAGTCGTTGCAGCCACTATCCTCTATTCTCACTGGAATAGCTTTTTCTTGAATAACCACTCTTAGAATAACTCTACAGGCAGTCCTTTCTTTGGACCAGACGCGAGGTTGGAGGCAGCCTCGTCCATTAAATCGAATACCCGCACTGTTGAAAGCCTAAGAACCGCAGCAGCCAAAATGACGACGCTGTTGTCAGGGTCTGAACCTGTAATGTGCCTACTATTGTACTTCTAGGGCTCTGAAATTTGTCCAAAGGAACCTAAGGGTTCAGCTGAGCTTTGTGTACGGACGTCTGCAAGCAAGAGTTCCTCCTCTCCACCACCCTCCCTTGCCCAGCCGCTTGCGAAGAGCCCAGGGACTAAGAGGTGGAGACTGAAAGCCAAACCCAGGGGCGGCTCTACTTCAGCTTGAGAACCCGCCTTTAACGGCCGCGGAAGCTCACGCCCTTGCCTTTCGCCGAGCAGAAACAGGCAGCGGGAGAGAAGGCGCCTCTGAGGAAAGGGCGGACCGGGGAAGACGCGTGAAAGAAGCCCTGAGCAGCCTGAAGCCGGAGGAGGGCTAGGCGGGGAGCCGTGGTACATTTAAAGCAGCCTCTCCGGTGAAGCTGCGTTTCTTATAGGCCTTCTTGGCGTCGCTAGTAAAGCTTTGTTCCTTTTGCTCGTTGTAGATTTGAGGGCCATTTTTTTTTTTTTTTTGCCGGTGTTTAATAATAGATTAGATCAGGACTGCGGTTTTATAATGTTTAATGGTAGAACAGAAGCAGACTTGCACCTCGAACAGTAAGAATAGTAGAGATTGTATGAACTCGGCTGAGGGTCCCGGGCAACTTCCTATCTGGGGTCTGGCTACCTTAGAGCACGGGTCTCTAACCTTGGCAACTTTAAGACTTGTGGACTTCACCTCCCAGAATTCCTCAGCCAGCAAAGCTGGCTGAGGAATTCTGGGAGGTAAAGTCCACAAGTCTTAAAGTTGCCAAGGTTGAGGACCCTTGCCTTAAGAGCAGTGTTTCTCAACCTTGACAATTTTAAGGCATGTGGACTTCAACTCCCAGAATTCCACAGCCAGCAATGCTGGCTGTGGAATTCTGGGAGTTGAAGTCCACATGCCTTAAAGTTGCCAAGGTTGAGAAACACTGCCTTAGAGTCTTAGATGAAACACCCTTGCCTGTCTCGCCAGTGTTACCCGATCCAGTCTGCATCGTTCCTACGGGCCCCATGTAGTATATTAGGAAGCACTAATTAAGGGGAGAGATGTCCAATATTTTCACCAGATGTAGATGTAACTGCTTGTAGTAAGCCTTACTTTCGGTGTTGACAGTAACAGTGTGATCAAAGCTACTGGTGGTGCTTGGACTACCATCCTAAAAATGCACTTGAGTTTGACTTCTCAAAATATTTGGGATAGGTGTGATACTGTGGAAGGGAATGTTTAAGAGTGTACTTAGTTCAAGTCATGCAGTAGACCTAGAGACTGACTGATTATGAGCCATCAAGTCAGGTTTTTTCTACTCCTAGCAACCACATAGAGTTTCTCCATGGTAACCCTATCCCTATCCTGGTATCTCAGGTCATTCAGTAGAGAAGGAATGTACAGTACAGGTAGTCCTTGACTTACAACCATTCATTTATTGACCGTTCAAAATTAACAGTGGCACTGACAAAGTGACTTATGACTGTTTTTCACACTTATGACTGTTGCAGCATCCCCATGGTCATGTGATCTAAATTTGGACACTTGGCAACTGGTTCATATTTATGATAGTTGCAGTGTCCCAGGGTCATATGATCACCATTTGAGAAGCAAAGGCAATGGGGAAGCCAGATCCACTTAACAACAGTGTTACTAACTTTAATGGTTGCAATGATTCACTTAACCACTGTAGCAAGAAAGGGCGTAAAAATGGGGCAAAACTCACTTAATAAATGTTTCACTTAGCAACATAAATTTGGGGCTCAATTGTGGTCATAAGTTGAAGACTACCTGTAAATGATTTTCTTGCTTGAATCAGCTTGGAAATTGTTTTGATCTCTTGTGGGGATAATCCTGCTTGATTATTTAACTTTGTAGACACTGGTAGTCACAGAAGACTTTTGAATATATTCTTGGAAAGACACAAGTAACACCTGTTTCTTTTTATAAAGAAAAATGAGCTGTCCTACTGTAGTTTAGTTTTAGGGATAGCAAGTATAATTTCCCATTTTTCTTAAACAACAATGCATGCGTGTCTTGTCAATTTTTTTATGTTGTATCCACATGATATGTCTTTATCTCATCTTTTAGCTATGAGTAAGGCAGCAAGACAGTCTACTGTCTTAGTATTAAAGAAACATTTCCTCCTTTTGTGATACCACCCAAGGTATCACAAGGGCATCCTGAAAGGGTACTGAATTAGGCTTTGTTAGGACTGTGCAGCACTTTGGATCGAATCTCCCAGAGGTTGCTTCAATGGGTAAACATGGCACCTGCTTGGAATCCCTTGAAACAGCTCTTAACTGTTTCCAGAAATAGGTAATTGCTTACCAAATGTTCTCACATGTTTCAAAGGACATTTTGAAGACTGAATGCAAATACTGCATAGCTATATGCCCATTAATACGGGGTGAAGTCAGGGGACTTAAAACAGAGGTACAGTAGAGCTGGATAATGGGGACAACACAGCTTTCATGCCAATACAGATAGCTTCAACTCAGTAGAGGGGAAGGGCCCTGTATTAAGCGAATCTCATTTCAAAATCTGGGAGGGATTGATTCGTCTGAAGGCTTCTTTTGGCAAATTTATTTATTTTTTTTTTTTAAATATTTGTATATTTGAGACATTAGACCTATACAACAAATATATAGTATAACTTTGATCAGTTTTCCTCTTGCTGTAATGCTGTTTAATTTTTTTTTCTTTTCCTATGTCATTTCCTATGTCATTTCCTTTCATTTTCAGATTTCAGAAAAGATTGGCATCCTATCCACCAGTCAACTAAAGTGAAGAGTTCAAAATTACTATGATGGAGGTATTTTTTTGTTGAACCGTGCATAAGTAATATCATATGTTAAAGACACATAAAATTGAATTACTTTCAGCAAAAGTTCAATAGTTCAAAATATGTTACAGTAAAAAGTTGACCACCTAAGGGACTGAAAGAAAGTAGTCAACATACTGAGGTGGTCAACAAACAGAACAACTATACTGATACAAATGTGCCTCATTTTATTGTACAGCTTTTATTAGAGAATGTCATACAGAAAAACACATAATGAAAACATAGGAAAATCATTCGTACAATATTGTATTATACAAAATCAATACATTTGTTTTGATGTATTGTTCTTATGGTTTGATCATTTTTTCTGAAAAAACAACTCAGTTTTAGTCTGTTTCTTATTTTTATGAAGATAAGTGGAGAAAGCACACTCAATGCTGACTATACCACTCAGCATACATGGGCATTTTTCCATGGCAAATGACTATCTTCAATTTCTGTGTACTGTGTTAGGAGGAATGGCGGAGGATTGCATTAGAGAACAAGCTGGCAATACTTTGTAATTATAATATGAGAAACATTCTATTTTTTTCCACTGTAGCAAGAGCAAGAATGGGAAAACTTAAACAAGTTATTAAGACAACATGGCTTAAGACCTGTATGCCTTGATATGCCTGGAAGTTGCGGAAATGTGCCAGGTAACTTACTCTTTACTAAACTAATTAAATTCACTGTCAGAATCTTGCACTTCTGTTACTGCTTGAAGATTTAGATACTTAAGTACTCATTCATTTATAAAATATTATTTATTACTAACATTTCTGTGCATATCCACATCAAATGGTTCTGAGCAGTATGTGATACAAGAGAAACATTGGTAACCCATCAATGTAAGAAATTTAGGATAGGAAAAGTGATTTTTCACTAGTTAAGGGCAGTCTCAAATGGTCCTATCCTAGGACACAAAGTGATCCCTTAACATATAGAACTATGCAGAGCATTCCTCAATATGAAACGGCTGAGATATAAGTACATGAAAACAAAATATATTTATAGGTTGAAAAAGATACTTACAAGTACTAAGTTATGAATACTTGAATTATGCTTAACAGTTTTCTTTCAAGCAAGGAATGATGTTAACATTGTACATGGTTAAGGTCTTAATAGCATAACCAAACTTCTTTCTCTCAAATTTAGAATCCTCCACTAGGGCCAAATAGTTCTCCTTCCAAGTCTTCTGTAATTGAATGGCTTCCTCTTGACAATTACATGCCATCAAATCTCTTAGCGACTATGTAGATAAATTTTCTCCTTGAAGATCTGTCCCTAACCTTGGACTTCAGCTCTTATTAGTACTGTTCTTTTTAAATAATATTTATTAGTTTTCTAATTTTACATTTAGGTATTTAAAAAGCAACGTGGTGGCTGGGTTAATCAATAGTTCAATAACATACAAAAATCTTTAGTACAAATCTCAAGTTACAACATCAAATATTTCCTCTCTTTTTCCTTAATATCTGCTATCTTGTATTTAAGCTAATATAGTTCTTATTATATCAACTAAATAAAAACATCATTATTACATTTATGAATAAATTTTTAGCTTATACTTATCTTAATTACTTTTACATTCAGTCTTTATAAATCAATATCCAGTTATTGTTTTTTTCCCCAATTTTTAGTTTCCCATCAATATTCAAATTTAAACATTTTATATTTATAATTTCCAGGCTTTAGGTAACCAAAGTTTCTCTTATTTCAGTTCATAACAGAATCTAATATTCAAAATACACATCTTATCTATTTGAGTTCTATTTTCTGTTGTTCTATTTTCTAAAAGTTATCTATTTCCCACCATATTAAATTATCTAATTAATAATACAGTATCCCCTTTAATAAATCAAAACCATTATATTGTCTGGGTTAATCAATAAATCAAACATATTCATAATTTTTTTTCTTTTGGGTCTAAATTTTAAATATTAAACAAATAGAATCCTTATTTTCAACTAATTTCCAAATATTTTAAATTTAATGACCAAAATTCTCCTTATCTCAACTTTTTCCTTTAACCCTCTAATTAGTAATATGAAATCCCCTCTAATAAATGAAAACCCCAATTTTCTTCAGCCTTATTCTGGCTTTCTTCCTTTGCCAACTAGCCTTCCCTGTCAGTGTTTTTAAATCATCAAATAGATCTCCCTCTATTATTATATAATTTGAAATAAGAGAGACCATTTAGTTGCCATTTTTTGGGAAGGGCTAGCCCGTTTGTGTTCATTAAATCGTCTCCCTATTCCAATTCCCCATGATTGTCCTGATATGTTTATCTATTCAATCTGTTCTTCTTTCTCCTCAAATTTCTTCTGATTTATATAGAAAGTCTTTTCTATTTTCAGTGTTGTCACTCCCTTTTCTGGATTTTCAATTGTATTTGCTGGTCAATTAGGTCCTCTGTCTTAGTATTTGATTGTTCCATTTCTTCTGTTATCTTCTGCGTTGTTAGTTCTTTGGTTGTAGTCAAAATTTGGGTTTGTATATCTAAGCTGGTATCTTGTTCTTTTATGTTGCATCTTATTTTGTCACAAGCTGAAAGAATGGTTTCACGTATTGTTTTCAACATGGAAAGGATCTTTTCCTGGTCTTCACCCATATTCTCTTAATAGTGTGTTATGTTGAGGACTTTAAAATCAGATGTTAAAAATAATTTTATAATTAGGTATGGGACCTTTATTTCACGTATTATAGGTAGTCTTTATAGTAGAAGTCATTTGTCAAGTAAGATTTTATAGTCCAAGGTATTTTATCATCTCATATAATAACCAATGTTCCTCAGATAAAGAAATAGGAAAGCAATTCCCCACACATAAGTCTAAAAGTCAGTAAAGGTTTACATTCATAGTTCAAGCAGTCTAATTATGTTGCCCAGAAGTTCCCTTTACAGCTGAGTTTCTCACAGGTGGTATCTATCAAGGTGGAAAGCGTTTTATCTGAAGTCTGGACTTCAATCCAAGTCTCTTTTAGGCAATAAAAATTGTAATACCAAACTTTGCCACAGGATGTCACTGATGCCATTTAAAGTTTTTTAAATCCAAATTTTTTATAATCCTTTTTTCCAGTTTTATTTCCTTTTTGTAGATAAAAATAAAAGTCTCCAGTAAAAATAAGAAAAAAAAAATGGTCCCCAAGTTTCAGAAAATATAAATCCAATTAGATTAAAATTGTTCTTTTAGTGCTTTAACTCCCCTGGGTAGTCAGTCACTGCTGTTCTTAGAGGATGGGGTAGAAATTCCCTTCCCTCTCTCCTCACAGGGGGAAAAGATTCTTTGGGCAGCTTTTACAGGAAAAGAAAATACTTAGGATCTTAAAGAGAAGATCAGATCTCACCCAGTTTCATCCGCGTTGCTTTAGAAGTGCTTGATGGTAAGTTTGACTTCGGCTGTCTGCAGCTTAGTGACGAGCCACATTGCTATGGCCGGTCTTTCCTCCGCCAGTTTGGAGGGCTGCCCCAGATTGAGCGGAAGGTCTGCCGTGATCAAGTGGGGTCCCCTCCTTGCTCGTCGCCCCTACAGGGTAACTTTTGACCCTTTCCAGGGTCCCCCAGCGGAACGAAATTGAACGCGGAAGACAGAGCTCACCTTCCAGCGTCCGTGATGGCAAACCGGAAATCTTATTAATATTGTTCTATGTTCAGCCTTTGAGGAAGTGTCTAATATTGGGTACCAATGGGGTCCATTGGTAATTCTTTATTGGTTATTTATTTTAAAGATATATGCCCATCTAATGTTGAACTCTGGGAAGCTCCAATGATAAGGTATTATGAACCCGGTAGTTAGGAATTAAAGAGTTACTGTTTTCTTAATTAGTACTCTTAAAATCTGAATTCTTTCAGTCTATGAAGAACTTTGCTTATATTGAATTTAGACAGTTGCAGAAAAGTGGCCAATTACAGTGACAGAAGCATGCTTATGTTCCAGACTCAAAAGTTGGCTTAATGAAATTTATCAGTTCTCAATAGCAAGCTCATATTAAACAATTCTGTATGGTCTGTGCTTAGTTCATTGTTTAAAAATTGAATCATAATATTGATATTGAAGAAAGTTTTACTAATTTCTTAGGTATTGGTTTATTAGTCATGTGAATGTAAGAGTATTAGGGTATTGTCAGCCCTTTGAGTAGGCCAGGTCAGGAATCAGACACTGCAAGAATTATGGAACCTTACTTTATTGTTGTAAATATAATATCAGAATCTTTAACGCTTGCTAGAATTTCATCTGTCCTCTCCTATATCGTGCAAATTATCTTTGCTCTTTTCTTTATGCTTAGTTCTTTTCCGGGCTGAGATTTCATTTAGTCTCATTAATTGATGCTTTGCATTCCTATGCTATCTCTGCCTCCTTTTACAGGTATTAGGCCTTCTATACTATGCTGATGCCAGAATCTTGAGTGAAGAAATTGCTACTAAATGACTTTGTGTATTCTATTCAGTGGATATAAATGAAGCACAGTATTTCCTAAAGAATGTTCTTTAATAGCATTTTTCCATCTAGCTCAGCGATATAGAAAGTATCATAAAAGTCAACTTGCTTTGTTATTAATAATTGGAATTATTTTCTTTTTGCCAGCTCTTTGTATGATACACTTTTATCATTCTAGTTGATTTGGGAGATGCTTTAAAACAGTAGTTCTCAACCTTTTTAATGCCGCGGCCCCCAACCGGTCGTAAGTCAAGGACTACTCAACCGGTCGTAAGTTGAGGACTACTCAACTGGTGCAGCACCGTTTGCAGAATGGGACTTTTGGCGGGCTCAGCAGGGCAGAGACAGCCTGGACAATTCCTATTGGCTTTTGAAAGCCAATAGAATTAGACTCTATTCAAGAGAGTCTATTCTATTGGCTTTCAAAAGCCAATAGAATAAAAGGGAGTAGCACAGCTAAGGAAAAGGGGGAAAAAAATGGCGGACTGCGTTGTTTGGCGACCCCTATGAAATGGTCGTTCGACCCCAAATGTGATCCCGACCCAAAGGTTGAGAACCACTGCTTTAAAATAATGTATTTAAAAAAGCATTTATTTTTTAAAATACCAGACACAGAGAAAATTGTTATGGACAAACAGTCCTCGGAAGCAGTACAGCATGCACTGAAAACATTAATGGAAGAAACAGAGCGTCAGCGAAAAATCATTCGTGGCTTGATAGAAGACAATCACCAGCTTAGGTAATATATTTTCTTAGAATTCAATTGGATGTCATTCTCTAGATCAGCGGGTCCCAACCTTTTCTATACTCTGTACCCCTAGAACGCTTATGATATATTCTCGTACCCCTTACAAAAGTTCGAAATAATGGCAACGAATTATGCATATACACTATAATTTTGAAAACCCAAGTTTTGGCACCCCTTGGAATATCATCTCGCACCCCCAGGAGGGTATAAGCACCCCTGGTTGGGAACCCCTGCTCTAGATGAAACAGACTTCTCTTTGTCTCTCTTTCTCTTTTTCTCCCTCCCTCCCCCCTTCTTCCCTCTCTCCCTCCCCCCCCTCACACACACACAGATGTACATCATATAGATAAGAAAGAGGATGGTTTGAACCCTGATTTGTGCTTTCAAGCCTCGGATAGCAATTTTAAAAAAATAATCTTTGATTAGTTTAAACTAAGAATCCAGGGAAGACGTGGAAAGGGGCAGAAAGTCCTGAAGAAAAAATCTGGAGACTTTAGGGCCAACTCCAGTCTAGGTGATGGAATTCATAGAACAGTTTCTAAATAAGAGTGTGCGGGACAAAAATTGTGTTGTCTCACTTCCCATTTTCACTTAGCCCCGTCTTCTGGTCGCTCGGTTTGGTTTAAAGATTTCTTGGCTTTTCCATTCTGCTGTGGCATTTTGTAGATTCCATGCATGCTCTCCTCATCGTTGCAAAGTTTGCCATTTAATAGAGATTCTGTGAAAAGCTAACATTGGGTCAGAATTCCATACTTTCAAGGTGGATTCATTTCCTTGAGTTCTTAGCAGGGAATGAATGTCAACGCAGCTTCTTTGGAGCAAGATGAGCTTCCTTTATTCCAGTAAGTCCAGGCTGATGCTCTCTTCTGGTTGTGCATTTCAGGAGGCGTGACTTACACCAGGTGTGTCCAATCTGTGGCCCATGGGTTGCATGCAGCCCTGGGCAGCTAGTAATTTGGCTGCACAAGATCATACACTTTTAACATTATTATGTAGTCTACATACATTAATTACATATTACATATTTTATATGTAGCCCAAGACAATTCATCTTCACTCAGTGTAGCCAAAAGGTTGGACACCCATGCCTTAGACTATCTAGATTTTAATATATTGTCCAGGATGATACCATATAATACTATGAACCAAACTCTAAGGTGGTTTCTTTAGCTAGGTTATTGTATAGATCCACCTATGAATCTCCAATTTTGTTAAACTATATTGACTATAATAGAATTAAACAACATGGCCACAAATTGTACCCCCACACCCCATAAATAAACCCAGCCTTTTTCCTTTGCAATCCATGCTTTATAACTTCTGAACCAAATCATTATAGCTTGTTCAAGAAATATTATTAAAACAAAGTGATTTAGCAAATTGTGTGAACCTAGCTACAGTCTTTTAGGTGGATTCTCTTATGTTACTTTTGATTTGAACTTATTTGGGGATAGCCTATATAGTTTTCATTAAAGTTTATTTTTGTTTGGTTTGGTTTTTAATTAGAGATGAATTGCGCTTGGAGAGAAGTCGGGCTTCCCGACAGGAACAACGAGCTAATGATTTGGACGTTATTGTGGAAAATGTCAAACATAAAATATGTCAACTGGAAGACGAGTCAATAGCTAATGCTTCTCAGCAACATAACCAAGTCAGAGATCTTCAAAAAGATCATGAAATTTCACAGGTACTTCAATACTGTTCAGAGTTTGAAATTCTGGGAAGGTTTGTTTATTATAGATGAGAGGCTTTTTAAGAACAATAGCAGCTACAAAACTAATTCTAAATTGCATTATGTCAGACCACAGAGCACTTCAAATAAGAGGTGTCCAATCTTGGCAACTTTAAAATTCCACAATGAGCCATGCTGTCTTAAGTTGCCAAGGTTGGAAGCCCCTGCTTTAAATAAACAAGCAAGAAAAAAGTGAAAAGTGTTATCTCTAGCTGGAAGACAGATGCTTTCTTTAAAAGTGATAGTATGGCCAGCTAGTACTTTTTTTCTTTTGCAATTTTCTGGTTTTCTGAACCCAGGCAGTGTACCGCCACCAAGCGAAACAGTTGGAGGAGCAAGAAGAGATGATTGCCCATTTACAAAAGGAGCTTTCTAAGCTGGGTCTGGAAGAGCAGCAGCGTATCGCCACTCAGAAAAAAATGTTCCGCCAGTTTTGTAAGCAGGCTCCAAGAACTCATTTGGATCAGCAGTAAGAAATTCTGCATGGTTTTCAAAATAAGTCCTAGTTTTGGGGCGAGGTGCACACGTAAAAATCAAACTAGGGCGGGGGTGGGGAGGTGGAGCTGCCCCACGCGCCCCGCACCCGCTTACCTTAGGATCGCTGCAACCAGGCCTCTCATACCCTGACACCTGTCGCACCTTCTGCGGCCACTTGTGGCTGCACACCACATGGCGCATCGCACTGGGCCACTGCTCGCGGCAGAACATCACATGACTCGTACCGATCATGATACCACCACTTGCAGCAAGAGGCCACGTGGTTTGTCATGCCGATCACACTGGGTGGCAGCAGTGGCGCGATAGTTGCAACAAGCCGTGTGGCCTGCGAGCAGTGGCAGTGGCGCAATCGTCACAAAGAGCCATGTGGATTCTTGGTGCAAGCGGTGGTAATGGTGTGATGTGCAATGTGGCATGTAGCCGCATTTGGCCGCAGATGAATATAGGAATTATATGAGGTAGTTTTTCTCTGCATGTGCACATTGCACATTGTACTTTTTCTTTTTTAAAACATGCTTTGATGTGCAAATAAAGCAAAAGAATGAAAATCAAACAATGCAACCCCCCCACAACCCCAGTAAAATATACATAAAGAAAAAAAGTCAATTATCTTAATTTATCGTTTACCCTTGATTTCACAGAGAAATATTGATCAGCCTTGGCATTGTACTGATAGAAAACTACTTTATAGATGAAAAGTGAATATATTTAAATTAGCCTTGATTGAATCCTTCTGGTCTCACATTATCTTTTCAAACATCAAAGATCATCTTTTTTGCTAATGCACCTGAGTCTAATTGCAAATCTGCAATGTGTTTGCTACCAACTTAAATTGTACATCCTTTCTTTAGGGACATACAAAACTTAACATTCATACGGTTTGGGTTCATTTATATTATTTATATAATACGTTGATGGAAAAGTACTGTAGAATTCCAAAATTTGAATAGAATTGTTAATAAATAAAATAGCCCAGAAACATAGTATGAAATACGATGGGTGAAACCATCTTGGAAATACCATTTTGATTTCATATTTTTAAAAGACAGTTTCTATCTTCTCCTCCAGATGTTTTGGCCCATAGTATTCATCAGCCACAACCAGCAATAACAGGGTAAAATTTACAGAGTCTCTAGCTTGCCCATATTCATCCCACAACTGCTTGGATTTAATTTCACTTCCACAAAAAAGGGAACCCCTACTAGAGAAGTTTTAAGTTACATACGTATGGACCGCATACATAGTTGTAGGAATTTAGTTGTAGGAATTTAGAAAAAAGTTAATTCTTATTTTAATTTTTGATTTGAGAATTATTGCATGTATTTCATTTGCTCTATTTAATTTATATCTGCTTATTCAATATTATTAATTTCTTGACTCGGTGGATTTGTAAATGTGGATTTTTTTCTGACAGATAACATTTTCTGCAAAACTAATCTTTCTCAATGGCATACATATATCTTGCAAACAGTTGTCTTTATACTTAATGGCTATCTTTGATAGTTGAGCTTCTAGCAGAAAAATACAACAAACTATTAAGGAAAGATAGTACAGTGAGCTAAACTTTGTCTACAAATTCACATTCTTTCTTATAAAAGTTATTCTTAGGGCAGAGTGAGGTATCATCCACGTTTAACATTTGTTGATTTATATTAAATTAGGGTACTCTTCTTTTTCAGGATTGGGTGTCTAATTGATTATTATGAATCTCAGATCAGCCATATAAGAAAAGAACTAAGGTAGGTAAAATGGTTGGTCTTGTTCAATTGATGGTCTTATCCTATGACTGCAAGTCTTATCCTATGACTGCAAGGTATATTTCAGATGCCAAAATAGTTAAGAGAGACATATTAGTGGGGGATCACCAACCTCTCTTAGACTGTAACTTGCATCAGCCTTCATCACTTAGTCATGCTGTCAAAGATTGATGAAAGTTGGTCTTTAAAACTATTTGGAACATCACGTTACCCATCCCATCCCAATACATAACTGAGATATATGAAAAATTTCATTTAAAATTAGTAGGGCCAAGCAGTTGACATAACAACCTTACATCACATCCAACATTTTTTGAATAGACTTTGCTTTTTTTTTTATGTGTTCAAATTCTTTAGAGCCAACTTGCAAAAGGGGAAGGGAAGGTAGATGGAAGAAGAAGAAGCATCTTTTCGACCAAACAAATTTACGCTGTTAAATGTAAAAGTTTGTTTGGTACTTCCGTTTTGTACTTTCACTTAAGTGAAACTTACTTTAACCCAATTCCTTCATAGGAAATACAAGAAAGAGATCAATCATTTACAAGACGAAGGAAAAGATGAGGATGAATTCTTGAAGAATATAGATGCTACTGCTAATTACAAAGCTCTGCTTATGGTAAGGAACTTCTGTATAATCTTAGAGGTAGATCTGGAATCTGGACAACCTCTAGTCACAAAGTTATAACTTTCCCAGTTGGTAAATTATAGTATGATTCACTTTAGGATTATGCTGAAGGCATTGATTGATAGTCATCAAATGTATCCCACTAATGCAGTGTTTCCCAAACTTGACAATTTTAAGGCATGAGGACTTCAACTCCCAGAATTCCACAGCCAGCAACGCTGGCTGTGGAATTCTGGGAGTTGAAGTCCACATGCCTTAAAATTGTCAAGTTTGGGAAACACTGCACTAATGTCTACAAATGAGAAACCAAACTTAGAGAACCCACACAACCTTATACTCCAGTCATGAGGTACATATAGCCTCTACCATCATAGTTTGTATAAACTATGTATATCCAAAACCCATTCTGCTTTTTTCGGCAAGCATTCATTTTTTTGTAGCATAACTCATACTGCCTGCTATCTTTTCACTAGAATCTTCCTAATTTTCCCCTCCATTTTCCCATCTTTTGTAAACATTCTGCCAGATACAGCAATTCATCTTACTGCTCTTATTTACCCATTTCATTTGAAAGATAAAGCATTGCAAATTATATTTTATATCTTCCGATATTTTCAGGTAGTTAAATAAATGAATTTAAATAATTAGAATTTTTTTTTAAAAAATGTCCTATTAACTTTGGATTTCCTGGGTCAAACTTTAAATAAATCATCGTTTTTCAGCGTTTTAGTATCTTATTAATCGTCTACTTAATTGTTAGGGTAAGTGACAAAGTGCTATGTTGGCATGCATATGTATGAGTGTAATGTTTGTAATAAATATTTCCAAGTCTTTCCAGACACAAATAATTGAAACAAAAGCTCGAAATGAACAGCTTATGCATGAAAATACTAATCTCAAGAAAGAGATGGAAATTAGGTGAGTGGGAAAAATAATTTCAGCATAGCATGCATGCATGGATATGATTAAAATCCTGGATCCTAAATTCTGTGTGAAAACATTCAATACTGAACATCAAACAATCTCTACCAGATACTTTTCAACTATCTGATTCATTTTATCATAGCAATAGATGACCATTTAATAAACTTACTGAGAGCAACAGAAGCATGATCTGTGAATGTTTGGCCTTGTAAAAGCAACCACAGCAATAAATCTACAAGACAAATCTATTCATTGTGAAACTTCACAGAACCCTTTTCTTCCCTTTAGGCCAACTGTGCAAGAACTAAAATTTTATAAACAGCAAGTGAAGAAGCTGGAGAAAATATTAAAGAACATCAAGTAATGTATTTCAAACAAGCATTAATCATTAACCTGTTTTGCAGATGGATAAAAATCGAGACTGTGTAGTGATTATTGATCTGAAATCTTGGGTTTAGACACTTTAAAAGGGAGGAAACCAAAATGGGAGCACAACCAAAGAAAAAAATGAGTATAACTCAAGGGCCACTCAACCCATTTTTTTAAAATAATAATTTGTGCTTTTACTTTTTTCTGAGCTTTGAAAGCTATGATTTGTGTAAAACAAATACCTTAAGAAACAATTAGAATGCAATCTTTCACGTTTATGTGGATGCTGACCGTACAGTTTACTTTAGATTTTGTGATTCCATGTTTGGTCTATAAGGCCTGGATTATAGAACAATTTACTTAGTGCTTCTCCCTCTCCTCTTTCGGTTTGCTTGTTAGATCACTTGAGAGCAGTGAAGAAGAAAACATGAAAGAAAATAGAGAACTTAAAAAAGATTTGGGAGGAAGCCAGCTGCAGGAAGTTTGCAGAAGATATTTACAGGTGAGTGGATTTTTGTTGCAGAAATTCTGCAAAAAAAAAAAAAAAAACCCTATAAAAGGAAGAATAGGTTTCTCACTCATTCATATAGTGGAGAGGTAGGCAGCTATGGCAACGGTACGACCTATGGACTTCAACTTCCAGAATTCCTGAGCCATCATGGCTCAGCTATTCTGGGAGTTGAAGTTCATAGGTCATGAACAAGCTATGAATAGCCTCAGATTTACTGTTTGTTACTCTCCTCCTCTTTCATGGCTACGAGGATATTGTGCTTAGTTATGAGAAGCCTGGTTCTTCCAATTTAACCTAGTCTACTTAACACAGAGAACTGTGGTTTGGTTTAGATTCTCAGGGGGGAAAAAACAGTAGGGTTTCTGCTACTGATTTGTTCCCTAACTTGAATTTTGACAAATCATAATTCCTTGAATTTATACGACATCTTATTTAAACAAGAAAGGAAAAGGCAATGAGCTACCTCCTATTGCACGAAGCCATGTTTTCCCAGTTAAGTGTGTAACTGGGCCTGAAAATATGCCTTTATTAAAAGCTGGTGTTCATTTAACTCCTTTTTTCTCTAAAAATGCCATCTGACGTCAATAGAATTGAAGCTTTTCTTGAATGCTTGATTGTATTGAGAATAATCTCACTGGGTTACCAGCTGACAGCCTATATTTTCAGATTGTAGAATTGTACTGCTCTGACAACTGCTAAGACACTAGCTTCTATATGGGGATGCCATATTTCCTACAGTGTAACCTATTTGATGTTGCTTTACAGTAAATGTAACATTTGCAGTGTGGAATACCTATTCTCTTATCATTTGTATTGCAGGGAGAACAAAACTACCACACATCAATTCTAGTCAGGTGCAAACAAAATTATGCTTGTGGCTTTTTCCATTGTGACTTCCATGACTACCAGTCTTTCTTCCAGTTTAAACCATTTTTTATTATTCGTGCGAACTAGAATTTGCTTCGTAGTAAAAATTACCTCCAAAAAAAGCTTGCAAACCAAACCATAATTTAATGTTACCTCCCAGACAGACTGGTTTTGCTAAGTGAAAGCGCACAAGAAAAAGATGGGAGCAGGCTTGTTCATGCAGTGCTAAATCATGGTTTGCTGTTGTGCCTGGACTGACCCACTATATTGGCCAAAGCAGTGTACTTAATAAGTATAATATAGGCAAACGTCACTGAATAGTACCATGGGTGTTTAGTTAAATCGTATATTCTGTGTTAAAAATGTAGTTTCCTTGCTAAATCTTGAAACACAGGGAAGTAGTGAAAAATTAATATGTTTGGGAGTTGGTGTGTAGGAAGAAGCCTGATTATCAAATACTTCACAGGAGGAAGTCCATCATAATCGCTGTTGGAGCAAAACCCAACAGAAGTGCAGCTGTCTTAGATCTTATTATTTCAATGAAAGAGTTGAATGTTTGCCTAACTGTCCATTTAAACCTGGGATTTTAACTAGGGCTGGATTGTACTCAGTGTTCCTCAGATGTAATCCGTGTTACTCCAGCCATGTGTCTGGAACGTTTTACAAAGATTAGTGAATAATGATTCTTTTTTTCTAATATTTTAACTCCAAAGGTATTATCCAGCATTGACTCTATCATCAGAAGCCCAAGGAGAGCTCCTCTAATAACACTCATGCAGAAAAAGGGCCTTGGGAAAAGCTGCACTGAGGAGGGAAGTGGATTTGAGCATCTCCCTGTTGTGATTGAAATCTGGGCTGACCAGCTAATGGCCCTGAAGGTACTGGTGATCTTTGATTGCTCTCTTCAGCCTGGGGAGCTGCCCCTGTGCCTGGTTCTTCCAGTGCACGTCCTCTGTGTTTTCCACATGTCTTTTCCGTGAGTGTAATTTCAACGTACGAGTAGTTAAATAATAACAAACGTATCTTGCAGCAGAGAATTTTTTACGCTGTAACCTGTGAAGTCTCTCTCTCGCGCGCCCCATTTGAAATATTTTGTTTTTAAACAAGGAGAAGCATAATGGGAACCTAATAATGAGCTTCCCACAGTATCCTGTTAAATTCTTACACTGAAAGCCCAAAAGAATAACACACCATCTTTTTTTTTTTATTATTGTCGTTCTTTCAAGATCTTGCATCAGTCCCTGAAAAAGCTATCTCTACAATTAGTTCCTTGGTATACCAAAACTATGCAGGATACCAATGAATGTATTAGAGTTGAGGACCTTCAGCAAATAGTAAATGAAATCTCTGAAGAAGTAGGCAATGAAGAAAAGGTAATTTTGTTCAAAAGTACTGATTATTCAGAAGTATCAGTTTAATGTGTTACCTATGTGGAAATAATATAATAATAATAATTTGTCATTTTGGGCCTGAACGTACATATGCATTCATTCATATGGATGTAATGTGGGCTTATAATGATGTCAAACGTTAATTTGCCTATTAGAAAACGACACCCTAGTACAGTGATGGCGAACCTTTTAGAGACCGAGTGCCCAAACTGCAAACCAAACCCCACTTATTTATCGTCGGGTGCCAGATGGGTATGGCCTACTGCGGTGGGTGTGGTTGGCATGGGCGTGGCCTACTGGGTGGGTGTGGTCAACTCACCGTCACTTGCGTAAGGAGCACTTGTGCGGGCCTGGGCAGGATCGGGCCAGATCTGAGAGTCTCCAGCGGAGGGGGTGGGTGGGACCGGAGCAAGCGCCGGGGCATGGTCCATTGGAGGAGCCTCACTGAGCCTCAGGCAATGCAGGGGCCCATGGACAATGGCACGGACTGCCTGGAGTCCTGGGCAGCGGAAGTCAAGCACCCAGCCTGGCACTTGAGCTCCCCCGGCACCAGGACCCCACAGTCCTGCCTACCCTAGCCGCATTTCCCTGAGGGGGTGCCCAGTTGCATGGTGAGTGCAGAAGGGCAAATTGCATGGGTCAGAGGGAAGCCCATTCCCTCTCCATGTGAGGAGACCTGGCTTTGTAACCAAAGCATCCTCAGCAATAGGATGGGAGACCACCAGGGGATGGCAAAAGGGCCACAGGGCTGCTGGTGGCCAAGTGCTAAGGCAGGACTTTCCTCAGGCCCTCCCTCTCATTCCAATCTCCCTGCCTCCCTCCTCCCTCCTTCCTTCCTTTCTCCCTCCTTTTCATTCCCATCTCTTTCCTTCCTCCCTCCCTCCTTCCCCTCCTTCCTCTAGCTCTCTTTCTCCCCCTTTCTCCAAAGTCCAAACACGTGTGTGCTACTTTCCTTGCTCACACTATGCATGCCCACAGAAAAGGCTCTGTGATAGAGGATTAAACAGCTGGGTGATTTTGGGCCAGTCATTCTCTCTCAGCCCAATCCATCTCCCAGGTGTGTTGTGAGGAAAATAGGAGGAGAAAGGTGTGTTGGATATGTTTGTTGCCTTGAGCTATTTATAAAAATAGTATAGGCCAGATATAAATAAAAATAAAATTAATTCATTAATACTGGATTTCAGGACCTGTACTGATTTTCTAGACACATAGGAAACCAATCAAAAGTAAGCAGCAGGTTGCCTAGAAGAAGACTGCAAAAGATGAGAGAGGGGGGGGGGGAGAGAGAGAGATTCATTCTGTGTTTCACAGCCTCATGAGTTTAATGAGATTTATTCCTAGATATAGATGTGCAGGACTGGTGTCTTAAAAATAACTGTCCTCTCGGTGCACACAGATTTGAAATGTTGGGTAGCGTTGGATAGATTGGATTTTTCCTTGTTGCAAAGGATGGCTTCAAGCGGGGATGATGCAAGGAGCCCAATAATCTTCCTTCCTTTTTCTTTTTTTGAAAGCAGAACCAGCCTTTTTTTTTTTTTTTTTTTTTATTGAAATTTTTCAAAAGTTTTACAAATAAAAATCCACCCCCCCCTCCCCAACCACCCCACCCCCCCCCCCGACTTCCCAGAACTGAATATAGGATTATTTAACAAATATTTTAAAAATAACATTTGCAATTTATAAAATAATTAATAATAATAATAAAAATCACAGTAATAATATATATAGAAATAATATACATAACATAAACTTTAAAATGAATAATATATACTAAAAAAGAAAAAAAATAAAAAATAAAAAGAGAAGAGAGAGAGAGAAAGAAGAAAGAAGAAAGTAGACGAAAAATAAAGCATATATATATATAAAAAAAAAAAAATATATGAATAATAATACATTAAAAATGTATATATATAAAAAAGAAAAAGAAGAAAGAAAGAAAGAAAAAACAATCATTACAAATTATAAAAAGGCTAAATAATATTTTTCCATATCCAAATTATGTTGTATAAAATTTATCCATTTTTCCCATACCGCAAAAAATTTTTCTTGAGATTGCTCCTTTAAGAAAGCCGAAATCTTTGCCATTTCTGCCAAATACGAAACTTTATGAAACCATTCTTGTAAAGTAGGCAAAGATTCCTTCTTCCAATATTGTCCTATTAACAACCTAGCGGCTGTAATCAAATTTAACATCAATATAACCTCCTTAGCATCACAGTCAATAACAATACCTAGTAAAAATAATTGCGGAGTAAATTTTACCCTTCTTTTAAAAATTCTTTGAATATTCCACCATATCTTAATCCAAAAAGCTTTTATATGCTTACACGTCCACCAAATATGGTAATAGGTAGCATCCAAATATCCACATCTCCAGCATTTCGGCTGTAGATTAGGGTACATAATAGACATTTTCTTTGGGTCAAGGTGCCATCTATAAAACATCTTATAAAAATTCTCTCTTAAATTTTGCGCTTGTGTGAATTTAACATTTCTTATCCAAATAAGTTCCCAAGTATCCATTGAAATCGTTTCACCAATATTCTGTGCCCATTTAATCATACAATCTTTAACTAGTTCAAGTTCTGAATCTAATTCCACTAAAACCCCATAAACTCTCTTAATATGGGTTGGCCTTTGATCTCTTACTTGTTTTAAAAAAATTCCATCTTCACTAAGCCAGCCCATTTTACAATCCATCTTCCATCTATCCACTATTTGTCTATATTGGAACCATGAATAAGTTAAGTTTTCATGTGTTAATTCTTCCAAAGATTTTAACTGCCAGTCTTGGCCATCCCATCTTAATAACTGTACGTAAGAGACCTTGTCCATATTTACCCCTTTCCTTATACCTTCTATGGCATGCCGAGGTATAGCCCATAATGGTATTTTGAAGTCACTTTTATAATACTTTCTCCACACTCTTAGCAAAGAGTTTCTTATAATATGAGACTTAAAAACCCAATCCACTTTTTTATTAAATATTAAATAGGCATGCCATCCAAAAGCAGAACCAGCCTTTTATATTAAGGCTCTGCTCGCCTTCCCAAACTCCAAACTCACGCGTCCTACTTTCCTTGCTCACCTTCCCAAACTCCAAACTGGAGTAGGACGAGGAAAGTAGGACGTGCGTGCGAGTTTGGAGTTTGGGAAGGCGAGTGAGGATGCGCAAATTTGGAGTTTGAGAAAGCAAGCTAGGAAAGTAGGATGCGCAAGTTTGGAGTTTGGGAAGATGAGTGTAGGACGCGCGCCTTCCCAAACTCCAAACATGATATTAAAGGGGGTGGAGGAAGAAATGATTAATAAGGGGGTGGTTGATGTGTGTGTGTGTGTGTGTGCGCGCGCGCGCGTGCGCGCGAAAGAGAGAGAGACAGAGGTCCCCTTTCTGTAAGTTTGCTTATTCTGCAATGCTTTCCTTTCCGACACATTAGCTTCCCTGCTGGCTCAATCTTTCTTTCTGCTGCTTCTACCGCCCAGATCTAGGGCTGCAGAGCGATTTTGCTCCCCTCCCCCCACGCCCGATCTGGGCAGCGGAAGTATTTTCAAAGTCTCTGAAACTCACATCCATGGCCATGGAGTGATTTTATGGTGCTTCAGTGGCTTGATGCGGATGCCGGAAGCCTGGAAAATGCGGTGGGGGAAAAGCGGCAGTGCAATCTGCACGGTGGGTGGGTGGGGGGGGAAACGGCGGCGATCCAGGCAACAGAGGCCTTTTCCCACCATCCAGCCCGGGCTCTCAATGCAGAGAGAAAGAGAGCCGAGAGCGCAGGCGCACATGGAGAGGTGGAAGGGAGCAGTCTGGCCCCGCCTCCCTCCAGGGTGATGGTTTGCGTGCCCACAGGGACAGCTCTGTGTGCCGTCTGTGGCACGTGTGCCATAGGTTCGCCACCACTGCTCTAGTAGTTCTTTTCCAGTTATTGTATCTGGGAGAATCCTAGATTTCAGACAGAATACATCCCCAGGGTTCTATTATGTTTAATCAGGATTGAAATGATCAGTGGGCTCCTTTTGTTTTTATTTATATCCTACAGAAAAGTCTGATTCCTTCACAACAAACCTTGTATACCATTGTCTGTCATTTTCAAAAACTGTTTGATGTGAAGACCCTAAATGGCATTTACCCTCGAATGAATGAGGTTTATACAAAACTTGGTGAAATGATCAATGCTATGAGGAACCTCTGTGACCTCTTAGAACTAGGTAAGAATCTGTTGCTCTTCCTCTAACCTGCTCAAGGTCAGACCAGGATAATGTGGGGACGAGGAAGAGCTCAGCTGTGTTCTTTGAAAGGGCATGATAACTTTACCATAAGTTTTGCAGGAAAAGAATGGCTGCTGTAAAAAGTTTACCCAAGGGAAATGCTTTTCCTGCATCTTAAATTTAATTGCAAATGTATGTTGAGGTAAAGCAAAAGTTGAGGATGGAATAATAAAATGGAGAACACATCAGCAAATCATATTGAATTCTACAAATATTTTGTTTGGTTTCATTTTAATGTTTAAAGTTTGGTCATATACAAGCTCAGCAAAAGCATGTTGCAAAAGACCATTAAATGCAGCACCAGATTTGCTGTTGACTCTTTCGGCGTTACAGATTTTAAAAACCCATGTAAGGCAATAGTTCTGCAGCTCCCAGGACTGTATTACATGGCCACAAGAAAGACTGGAAATACACTTTGGAAGAGATCTGATAGCTGCTTAGCTATGACCTTACAGAAAAGCCCATCATTTTTTAACATGTGGAAGGATGAATGGGAAGCAGGTTAAAATCGTCATATATTCCCCATGTGCATCTCCCTCCCTCCCTCCCTCCCTCCCTCCCTTCCTTCCTTCTTTTAATTGTAAATTATTATTATTTATAGTTTTAATGTTTACTGGATTTTAATGTTCATAAGACATCCAGAGTTGCCTGTAGGCCAGGTGGGTGCCATACAAGTTTAATCAATCAATCAATTACTCCGAGTAAATCAATCAATCTCCACACAGTCCTAATTCTCTTTCTAATATCCTAGTGCTGTTCTAAATGCCCTTTTTTTTCTTCATTGCCTATAAAGGAAGGTTTTCTTCCTATAAAGAAATGACAGGAAGGAACTTTCTTCCATTCCATACTGTTGGCGTGATCCAAGCCAGTCTTGTGAAATATCAGGGTTTCCAAAATACCAGGATTGCTTTGTTAATCCTCTTGGTCTTATCCTTCCATTATCAGTACCACAATCATTTTAATGGGTTGTTAGTTTCGCCTTCCCATTAAAAACTCTGGTATGCTGCCTTGCACAATATTTTCCTACATTGCTTAGTTTGGATGTTTGAGTTGGCAACCATTTGAACAGCTTGCTGTTTAATTTGCTCCCACTTATCTATTGTGAAATGTTGCACAGAAACTGATACAATGTTTCTTCATAGATAGCTCAGCACCACCTAGTGTCCTGGTGAACACTGTTGGAAAGCTATGCAATTTGTTTAATGAGAATGTGGCCTGGCAGGTGGAACAACTCCTGGGCACACAAGACATTGAAAGGTATGTAGATCTTCATAGTTAACTAATTGTAGCTTTACAAAGATGCCTTTAGCCCTACATTCTAAATTCATAATGGAGAGAGAATGGTGTGACATCTTGTTGGATATTTGAAGAACACTATCATGGCCATCGTAGCCATATTACTCAAGGCAAATGCTAGACAGCTTTTTTGGACTTTTTGGGGCTTAATTTCCAGTGTCTTGATCCTCTTTGCCTTTCTCTGAATATGTTCCATTTTCTCACAGTGCTCCTTAAAAATGGGGTGTTCAAAAGTGGATATGGGTACTTTAGACGAGGCCTGATCATGGGAGAAGAGAATGGAATGCTTAATTCTTCTGCTTAAGTATTCTTTTGATATCACAGGTAGTCCTCAATGATACTAACTCTGTCCCTAATGATTTGGTCCTAAAAGGAGATGTCACACGGCCACACTAATTTATGATTGCAGTTGCAGCAGTTCCAGTCGCCATTAGTAGGTGAATCCCACACAGTCACAGTGTCCTGTGATCATGTGATCATTTGCAACTTTTCTGCTGGTTTCTCCATTGACTTTGCCTGTTGGAAACTGGCAAGAAAGGTCACAAATGGTGATCACATGACTGGATATTGTAATCCTCGTGATTGCCAACCAGTTGCCAAATGCCCAGATCACAATCATGTGACTGCAAGAATCCTGCAACAGCTGCAGGTACAAGGAATAATCATAAGTCCCCTCATTCTGTGCCATTGTAACTTCAGAGGGTCAATGAATAAGTGATTGCCGAACGAAGACTGCCTGTACATTTCTGCTGATAAGACTTTAAAACTACATTTGTCTTTTTTGCAGCCACATCACACTGCTGTCTCATACTCAATTTGCAGTCAACTGTAATTAGTTGACCACCGTGATAAGATTAGGGCAGTGATGGCAAACCTTTTAGAGATTGAGTGCCCAAACTGCAACCCAAAACTCACTTATCACTGGGTGCCAGATGGGCGTGGCCTGCTGGGTGGGCGTGGCTGTGGGGGATCATGGCATATTGGGTGGGTGTGGCCAAGGTGGGCGTGGTCACTTCAATGTTGCTCGTGGGGAGGGACGCCTGTGGGGGGTGGGCAGGATTAGAGATCCAGGGGTCTCTGGTAGGTGGGGCAGTAGGCAGAAAGAGGCTTGTCCTGCAGGGTGAGGTGAGTCAGGCCGGGGGTGGGGAGGATGCTGCCTGACACCATCGGCCCCTGCATGGGTGTCCGTCAGCAACTACAGCCTGCCGACCCCTCAACCAGCGCACTCTGGGGCTCTGCAGCCCGCCAGCAGTTCAAATAAACCACCTCTGAGTGGGATGGCCAGCCAACAGCTGAGGAGGTGATGCAGTGGGTTGTGCCTGGGAAAAGGAGAGCATGCAAGGCCAGGAAGGACGGGACAGAGGGGAGGGAAACCAGCCGTGCCGGGATGCATCCGGCCACGTGGGACCTCAGCGAGTTAGCAGGTGGCTGGTTGAAGAGGGACAGTTGCCATCTCTGGGGGGCATGGCGCGCATGCCTACAGAGAGGGCTCTGAGTGCCGCCTCTGGCATGCGTGCCATAGGTTCGCCACCACTGGATTAGGGCATGTTGTTTAAATAACAAAAGGAGAGAATGGATGTTTGTCAAATTGATATTTTTCAGCATTATCTACAAGTTAGAAGAACATGATGACTTTTTCCCAGCATTTCATGCTCTTATTAACAGCTTACTTCGTGTCCTGGGTAAGCACTTTCTGCAAATTAATGATAATGGATAGAGGGGCCTGGGCTTTCAGTACATTATTCCACATGAATTTTGTTTTCACCAGAATTTAAGGGCAACATTTAGCTGTCTTTTGAAATATATCACAAAAAAATGTATAATTATATGGCATGATCCGTTGTCCTTGTAAATCAATGTTGCATATCCCGCCTCAAAAAAGTATTGAGAACAGCAGTCAAAGACTACCCAAAGTTATTGCTGAATAATGTCTAGAACAGGGGTGTCAAACTGCCGGCCCGTGGGCTGGATGCATCATAGCGAAACCACGCCCACCCCATTGCCGGCAATGGCAAAAAAGTTGCGATATGTCGTGACACGTCACGTGATGTTGCGAGTTTGACACCCCTGGTCTAGAAAGTAATATTATAAATAATTATAACTGCAAAATAGTTTTTCACTATTTGCATTCTTCTCTTTTTGTAATATACACCAACGTGCTTATTACCCTTGCTATCAGGACCAAGTAGAAAGTGATTTTAGGATTATTCAGCAAAATTCATAGTAATTATATAAGGATTGTTTTACATTGGCTGGTTATTGGGGGGGGGAGCATTGCCAACCATTCAGCAGGACAATTCACTCATGATGTTGCTGAGAATGATATAGTGTTTAGTGTGACTACATCTTTTGAGAGGCTCCATGCATTTGCTTTGAAGGCATTTTAAGGACAGTACCCCCAAATACTTCCCCTTGGATTGCCACTGAGGGTTGCTTGTTTTTACTGCCATTTTCTTTGGAGGAGTCCACTGTGAATATAGGTGAGATGACCTTGGAAAAACCCCTGAAATAGCCATGTTCAGCCTTCATGGGGACATACTTTTATGAAGTGTAGCAATACTGCAAGCAATGAACCACTCTGAACTGTGTGATTTGTTTCAGAAGCTGATGAATGTTTATTTTAAGAAATCCTTAGAATGTATAGTAAACTCTGGTCATTTTGAGAGTGGGGTTCTATACTTCCAGACTGGAGTTTTCCATTCATAAACTAATTATAGCCTGGTTAATTTATATTTACTTCTGAAATGTAATGAAAATTTTACATAGTTTATAATATAAAGTATAAATATGGGGCCATACATTTTAAGCATTCCGTTGGATATCTAAAAATAAGTGATTATTGAATTGAAAAGGCAAAATGTGTGCAAAATTGCTTTTGTTTCAGAAGTCAGAAGTCTCTCAGAAATATTACCTGCTGTACAGAAGCTGAAATGGATGGTCCAATAATATAAACTAAATGTAAACTTTTAACATGTTGACTACCTCTTAATGTATTTTTCAATATTTTTATTAAAAATGTCTGAATGGAAGATTTGTTGAAGATTTGTTATTTGCTTTCAATAGCATAGGGACCAAGTTTTCAAAGTAGATTAATAAGGTGTATTAATGAACAGAATATTGGTAGTTAATAAATCATAAGCAGCTACTATATTATAAGTTAGTTTATTCTTTAAAAGCGCATTACATATGTAATGTAGACAAACAGTTTCTGAATTAGATTCTTTGGCATAAATAATGCAAAACATGGTCTGTTTTATGTACAAAACTGAAGGCAATGATTAGATTCTAGTGCATTTGCCTCTTTGCCAGCCATCCTCTGTCCTTAATCCCTTGGATCATTCAAAAACAATCAGAGGATCCTTTAGAACAGGATTCAATGAAATGTGAGGAAATGCTGTTTGAAGGAAGAGTCCCCCACTCTAGCTGCAGGGATGAGGGATTTTTTTGTCTCCTCACTACCCAGAAAAAGACGGTTCAGTACAGACTTAAAAAGTACATTCTGTAAGCAAAACTAGCATACCTGTCAATGTGCTTTCAAAATGATATGGACCCTGGTTTACTTGTGGCACTTCGTGTGGGGGAACAGAGCTGGGAGGGAAAATTAAGCAGCAACAAACAGTGCTTGGTCAGTAAAGCCTGAGAATATGGAAAGCAGAGCACTCTGCCTCAGAATTTCTCCTGTCTTTGGTCAATCAGTTGGGGAACCCCTTAGATACACATTTACTGTTATAAACTTTACCATTAAAAGTTAAATGCAGGATGATGCCAAATTCATCCCTTGAAAAAGTCAGAATTTTAAGAAATATAGTAATGCATTAAATAAGTTAAGTGTTATTGAAGTATAAACATTTACAAAATCTTATTGTGGCCTTCAAAGTTCCAAATATATATGAAGTGTGCTGTTGATCAGGTGTGAAGGAATCAACTCTGGGGCTGTCCATTTGTCAAGTGATACCTGTAAAAGAAAGGTGGCATGATGGATTAAAACAGATACTCCTCCACTAACTAGCTAGCTATATAGTATATCCCTGCCTTTTGTGTCTGCATGTGTGTATATGTATATGTGTATGTGTATATAAGACAGGGAACCAAAGAATCCCTATGGAATTCAGCTTGTCTGTCCTAGATGTGGTTGCATTATCTAGCTGTGTGAGGTTAAATTATCAGCTGAATAAAGTACAGTTAAATCACTGCATTGAAAACAGCCTTCCAAATACTTCTTCCCAGTTCCAGGACCTTCTGTAAGATTCACTAAACCTAAAATATTCAAAATATTGCATCACCATTCTCAGGCTGTTTGAAAGCAAAATGTTTGGAATGAGAAATGGGGGGGGGGCTTTTCATGTTTTCAATGTTACTTTGTTTCCTCCCTATTTTATGAAATCAAGTTTTTAAAACTGACAATGGTGAAAGCAGCACAGCTACAGGACCAAGTCCACATCTAACTAGTACTCAAGCCATAGTTCCTTGGTTTATCCAGAAGAGCTACCCAATTTCTCATTCCTTACTGCTCTGTTGGTATTAAAAACTTGTTTGGATAAATACTGATTGGCCATAAATAGATCGTACTTGTCCCTACAGATCTTAACATCCTCTCAATAGCAAAATTAAACTGATAGCAAGATTGCAATTGGAGTTGTTGCTGAATCATAGAAAGCAAAGAGGTGGAATGTTGTAAAGCACAGCCTAAATATAGGAAGTAAAATTATCCCTAGATTTTCCATTGCCTCTTTTAGGAGGGAGAGGAACCAGTCCTTGAAATAAGCAATTATTATTTTTTCTGCTCGATCCATTCTGCACTATCCAGATCTAATAGCTAATCCTCTTGCATTGCTACCTTCTTATATGCTGACCATCCAAACATACCATTGAGAGAAGCCCTTGACTAAATCTTCCTTTGATAAGTCAATCAGCACCTTTAAAAAGAAAAGTCAGAATTGTTAAGCTGCTTAATCAAATATTTAAGTTACAAGTACATGGTTTTAAAAAATAAAGTGTATTTCTACATACAAACTTCCTAGCAAGTTCATAACACAGTACTGCTATTTACTACATACCGCTCCATATTCTTTTTAGATGCTTCCTCTAGAGAGTAGCAACATTTTGAAGTTATAGAGCAATCCATAGTTACTATATAAATACTTTGTATAACAAGATCTTACTTCAAGTATATAAGGGTGGAGAGAAAGAGAAGATGTGAATAGCATATTTAAAAGAATATCTTACCTTTCCAAGTTCTTTCCTTTCGTGTGAAATAAGTGACTTTCTGTTTTTCACTGCAATATCTAAAGTTCGTTTCTTAATGTCTTCCAAGGTGTCATTAAATTCAAATCTAAATGTATGAAAAAAAGATATATGCTATATAAATAGAAATCTTCTAATGCAGCAGCCCCCAACCTATCTGGCTTGATGGACCGGTGGGGTGGAGAGGGGATAGTTTCATGTGACTGGTAGGTGCACATCCTCCACTCAAATACAGCTTTGCCCGCCCATGCACACTCGTCTGCTGCTTGTGCAGCCCTGTTCTGAACAGGCCAAAGCCCAGTAGTGGGCTAGTGGCCTGCGGGTTGGGGACCCCTGCTCTAATGTTGAAAGGTTAAAGCTTTACCAAAGTAATAAAAAAACAATTAGAAAAAATACATCTAATATTTAAAACCTGCTCAAATTCCAAGCACTTTCAGATTGCAGAGGCAATGCTCCCATAGATTAGATCAGAGGTGACTTGAGTCTGAAGCATGTTCTTTCCAGGTTATGCCTGTTATTATAGATTTAAGGCTGGCTATGCTAACCATCATTACCTGGTAGTGATAAAAAGTCCTAAAGTCCCTATTCCATGGGAAAATTCCATGACACAGATGCAACATGAGAAAAAGAGAACTAAATAAATCATCTTCAGAGGTAACCTTGCTTTCATATGAAAATGGTTGAGTGTTTTATTCTGTATCAGTTTTATTTATTATATTGGTTTCTGCTCAACGATTATAATAATGTTCTGATTTTTTATACAATATATTTCTGTTTATTTATATTTTGCATTTATTATTTTTTATAAATAAGGCAGTGATCAAACATAATACTTCTTCCTCCTCCTATAGTACTTTCCCCACAACAGCAGCCCTGTGGGTTGAGTTGGGCTGAGACAGTGACTGGCCCAAAGTCTACCCAGCTGGCTTTTGATTTCTCAAATTCAAAATTGTAGATTATAGAAGGTGGAATTATATAGATCATCGTAGAAGATATTTTAATTTATCTAATTACTGCACCATCTCTAGATAGTGATCTTTCTTTCTCAAGCCGAAAGGCAATAGGTCACTCCAAATCCTTTTTGCATCCAAGAAACATGGGTTATATAAAAACCTCAAGATTGCTCCATCTTGCACCCAGGACTGGATGTTTTGAAAACGGCAGCAGAGAAAAGCTGTGACACTAACAATAAAGTAAAACTTAAACTGAGCTCTAATTACATCACCTAATGAATATTGCATGTTTGTGACGAGCATTATGGGGATATCGGGTGCAACATCTAGGCCTCAGCAAGAAGTGATTACAGCATTTACTTACTTCTCATCATACCGAGGATTCAGTGTTCTTTTCTTCACAGTAGTCCTTCTTCGGGTTATCCATCTTTTGTCTGGGAGCAAGTAGATGCGAACATATGGATGTGCTCCGTGCCGAGAGCATGGCACTAAATTTCTTATGGATAAAAAACAGGAGCATATTTACAATCAACAGAGTAAAAAAAAAATCTTGTGAGGAAAAGATTCAGTCAGGTGAACCTTGCTGCAAATTTATTTATTTTTTCTTGAATTTGAACAACAACAAAAACCTTGCTGTTTTTAATGCCTTGTTTTTAATGTTTTAAATCGTTTGTAAAGTACCTAGAATTGTTGGGAGTTGAGCACCCTATAAATGTAAACAACAACCATACTGTATGTTCAGCCAACAATAGTTGGAGACTCTGATTGAATCCTCCAATCTGGAAAATTTGGGAGGGGAAACTGCTATACATATATTCATTCCATTAAGCAAAGATTAAGTAAAATAAGTGCCATCATACCCAAGATGTGTTAAGGGTAATCCAAATATTGAAAAGAATGGTATTTCTCTCAGAACGTGAATAGAGATAAATTGCTAAACATTACTGTACCTGCATGAGTTGACCAACACAATGAGAGATTGCCTTAAGGAAGCATATCGGACAGTGATGTGAATCTCTCCCAAAGGCCTTCCATCAGAAAGGGTGCCACTGCAAGATAATTGGCTTAATTAAAGGAAGTTCATGACTGAAGCAGCCCGCTACTTCCTGCTTGCTTCAAAGCCAGACTTCCAAATCTAATCCCATAGATGAGTTAAACTTTTTTTTTTGGTATTATAAACAGATCAAAGAGGAAAAAATAAAACCATCAGAGAAAAGAAAGAGATGCTTGTGTATTTCATTGTACACAAGCTAAACTGCCTTTAATTTGTTTCCCAAAGGAGACATTCTGTATTTCAACTAAGATAGATCTCTTGGTAGTTGTGGTAGTTCATTTTTCACTCTCTGGTGTATTTCAGTATATTCCAAAACCAAACTAATATTAAAAGAAAAACTATATTCTCTTATACTGAACCATACTTTTAATTATAAAGTAATCTTTATATAGATGTCTTCCTGAAACAAGCACTCTGTGATTCTTGAAGCCCTTTTTCCAATGCAATATTGCATTTCCCTAATTCCCAAGTGGGAAATACCTGAAAATTATAATAAAAGACTTATCTCCCAGAAAACACAAGCAAAATAACCAGCTCCTTCCATATATAACACATGGTCCCCTTTGTTTTATATCATAACTTCACCCATAAAAAATGGCAAGGTATGTCTTTCAACAACAAAAGGTTGCCCAGTTGTATCCAAAGACCAGATTTCAAGAAATGCAAGCCCTTTGAGACTTTGAGTTGATACAAGACATAGACAGGAACCTCAATTTTTCCATAACACACTTCTACAATTTCAGCATAAATATTCTGGTATACGCAGTTCATCCTGCCTATTTGCAATACTATAAACGATTAAGGAAAGAGTGAAGTAAGTATTTAGGCTAGGTACGTCAGTTTTGTGTTACCAAATACAGTTGTGAAATAGAATACCCAACTAATGTTCAGTCTGACTTACTTATTGAGGTTCAGATTGCTGCAAGTTATATCCATGATTGAAGAGGCTTCTGTGCCTAGAGATGCAAGGCTGGGGGCAATCTGGAGTCTCTGCAGAGCTGGCAATGTTGGGGGTACTCGAGTGGTCTCTGGAAGTGTCAAGGATTTTGGGTTCAAGCCACCTGTAACTCCTTGCTCATTGATTCCAGCAACTGCCTCTATGACAATGGGCTCTGACAATTTCTCACTTCCATTAGGGTTAGTATTGCTCTCCTGTTTGTCATTTCTGCATTCAGGAACAGCAGAGTCTTTGTTCCCTTGGACTGCCTTAGGCACTTCTACTGGTGGTGGTGGTGGTGGAGGAGGAGGAGGAGGAGGACGAGGTGGTGGCAGCTGTGCCTTGTTTTTGTCTTCATTCTGTTCCGGGGCTGAGGCAGGACCTTGTTTTAAGGCATTAGCCCCATTACTGGTGTTTTCTGAATCAGGGACCTCTATGTCCAAAGCCTAAGGCAGAAAAAGAAAGTTAAGCATTATCATATTGTTTATTTAAAAAAACAGACTCTTTAGAACCCCTTCAAAACTGCTACCAAATTGTTAATGCTGAGTGTGATAAAATGAGAAATTGTATACATAGCAATCAATTGTGTTAATTATAAATAACATGTAGTTTCCGATTTGGCCTCATGAATATATTGCATTATATATCTCATTCATTCATGCATGCATTAATGCATGCATTCATTCAGTCAGTATTATACCCATCTCAAATGCATAACTGGTTAACAATCAAAAACAAAATAAAAACAATAAGCTAAAGTATAAATAACATAAAATGGGACACCAACACATTGTTGTATAAACAGAGGCATAGAATCAAGATCACATGAAATTTATTTATTTATTTATTTCTAAAATTTATATGCCGCCCAATCCCAAGGGACTCAGGGCGGCGTACAAAATTTAAAACAATAATATGACAATAAAACAATAAAATAAATACATTCATACAGCGTGTCCGATCATATCCCGCCCCCCCCCGGGGACATCAGCCCCAGGCCTGCCGGAACAGGAGAGTTTTAATGGCTTTCTTAAAGGCCGGCAGAGTGGGAGTAGTTCAAATCTCAAATCTCAAGTTGATTCCACCAGGTCGGAGCCACCACAGAAAAGGCCCTTCCCCGAGGACCCGCCAGCCGACATTGTCTGGCCGACGGGAAATACTAGTAACGCTTTATAAAAACCCTAGTGAGACCACAACTGGAATACTGCAACCAGTTTTGGTCACCATACTACAAAAAAGATATTGAGACTTTGGAAAAAGTTCAGAGAAGAGCAACTAAAATGATCAAAGGCCTGGAGACTAAAACATATGAAGAACAGCTGCAGGACTTGGGTTTGGCTAGTCTAAAGAAAGACGAAATGGGTGACAGTATTTGAGGGGCTGCCACAAAGAAGAGGGCATCAAACTATTCTCCAAAGCACCAGAGGGCAAGAGAAAAAACAATGGTTGGAAACTGACCAAAGAGAGAAGCAACCTGGAATTAAGGAGAAACTTCCTAACAATGACAATTAACCAATGGAACAGCTTGCCTTCAGAAATTGTGGGCGCTCCATCACTGGAGGTTTTTAAAAAGAGACTAGACAGTCACTTGTCTCAAATGGTATAGGTTCTCCTGCTTGAGCAGGGGGTTGGACTAGAAGACCTCCAAGGTCCCTTCCAATTCTGTTCTGTTCTACTCTACTCTACTCTACTTTACATAACAAACATCCACTGTTAATACAGTCCAGAAACCCCACTCAAGGATCATGTTTTTTCAGCCTGAAAAAAACTCCTTTGTCTAAAGGCAGAATTTCTTCTAATCATATCCTGAGTAATTTAGCTAAAACTTAGAAGGCCTTTAGCTGACAATTCTAGAAAAGGAGAGGTATCACCTCTCCAATGAACACAGTGACTGAAAAATCGCAGGATTCCAGTGTCCAACATGTGAATATGAAATAAAGCATATGCTGTGTTTACAGCTTAACATCCTTGGTCATTCACTGTTCACTGGTGCACTTGCACAAAAGCTACAGTTGTCTTCACAGCACACTATTACTGTTTAATCTTATGTACTATTTACATAGCTTTTTGTTCTTTACATTGAAGGATGGTATTTTTTTTTACTTCAGTGGAATATTTGTGCCTACAGTAAAAAATATGTCTTCAGGCAGATATTTGCTTGCTGATGGTGTCATACTTAATTATTTCATCAGATACTTTTACAGAGAATTTTGCCTTGATAACTAGTTTACCGAAGACAATCTCTTCTATTATGGTAGAAAACATTGTTCCTATCATCCTTCCCATTTATGAATATTGTAAGTAATAGCAGGAATTATTTTATTAAGTGTGAAAGCTATATAAATGTAAATTGTTGTATAACTTGCAGCATACAAATAAACCCAGAAACAATTTGGATGCAGGTGCATATGTGTTATTGGCTTCAAACCAATTCTTGTTTAATTGCTCCCTTGGGAAAGAATGCAAATCATATGTTGGAAATATATTCCTCACATATCCACCTAAGATTATTCTTTTGAAAATCTGTGAGACTTCTGTTCTTAATAGCAATATTAACAGCACATCGATGTATATACTACTTCACAATGCTTTACAGCCCTCTCTAAGTGATCTACAGAATTACCATATTGCCCCCAACAATCTGGGCCTTCATTTTACCAATCTTGGAAGGACGTAAGGTTGAATCAACCTTGAACTGGTGAGGATCAAACCTCTGGCAGTGAGCCAACCTGCAGTACTGCATTCTAATCACTGTGCAGCCACAGCTCCTAAACTACATAGCTGTTCTTTCAAAGTCCAAAATCCATCTCCTGGAAAAGAAAATGTTCTACTTTAAAATATAGCAATGTGGTGGTGTATGTAGTCAAAATAAGAAATTCAGTTTTTAATTAATCATTCATCTTATTTAAAAACATTTTCCACAGCAATTTGGAAACTGTGCAGCCAACCATTCTACTTTATCACTATGATGCTCCTAATGATCATCTTCTTGAGCTCTGGGGGTCAATAGATTTAAGGCACCCTTTTTAGGATTATGACTTCAGACATGCAGTAATTTAGTCTTAAAAATGTTAAGGGGGCTGAGAATATAGGAGGCTCAAGTGTTCCTTTAATTCCTGCTGCTTCTTCTCCAAGCCAGTCTATCTATTTATAGAATATGTATTTATTAGCGATAGAAAGGAATGGCATTCATTGAAGGAATGCAAACAACAATAAACATTGAATTCTGTCACTTTATAAGAAAATATAGCTCTATAGATATACTGTAATTTAGTCCAGTTTTGCTCATGGTAAACCCTAGCATATAAATCAAGAGTCCACAAATTACATTCAGCATACAAACATTTAGGCATGTAGGAATTAATGCAGCAATTGCCTCAATCTCGAATTAAGCTGTTGTGGAAAAACCACAATACTTACATCAGAAGACAAGACCACGAAGGGTTGGAGAAAACAGGCTTTATTTGTGCACAATGGTTCAGAGCATTAGCATGACAAATTCTGAACCCCGGGCTACTCCCAGGGGGTAATTCTTATAGTATTGACCACCCACGCCTTGTCCTCAGGGTGGCCCTTATCTACCTTTGACACACTAAAACGGAGAAGTTTATATCTTGAGGCTACGCAAGGAAAAAGGAGAAGTTCACACAAATGGTTGTCTTACTACACCTCTCTACACGGGTAATATCTTACACCATCTGTGACTTTCAGTTGACACTTCTTGTAAAATGGTTTCTACATAGCATGAGCACATCTTTATAGTAATGACATTTATAGTAATGACACACAGGTTATATTATTCAGCCAAGCTTAATATTACCTATTACCTAAAGCAGTGGTTCTCAACCTGTGGGTCGAGACCCCATTTGGGGTCGAACGACCATTTCACAGGGGTCGCCAAACAACGCAGTCCGCCATTTTTTTCCCTTTTCCTTAGCTGTGCTACTCCCTTTTATTCTATTGGCTTTTGAAAGCCAATAGAATAGACTCTCTTGAATAGAGTCTAATTCTATTGGCTTTCAAAAGGCAATAGGAATTGTCCAGGTTGTCTCTGCCCTGTTGAGCCCGCCAAAAGTCCCATTCTGCAAACGGTGCTGCACCCAGTTGAGTAGTCCTCGACATATGACCGGTTGAGTAGTCCTCGACTTACGACCAGTTGGGGATCGCGGCATTAAAAAGGTTGAGAACCACTGACCTAAAGTTTAATGTTATTAGTTAAAAACAGCATCCAGCATTCCTGTTAATTAAGATATATTTCTTAAGATTTTTCCTGTCCACCTCAAAGCCAAGGTTCAGAAAAATCTGTTTTGAATTAAAATTACTATAAATGTATTCAGAATTACTGCTTGCTTATAAAACTAAGATCAGTTACTGAAATAACTTCAGGTGTAAAGTGTTCTATAAGACCCAGAGAAGGACTACCAGCTGCTAACCTGCCACCCTAGTTATGAACAAATACTCCACTTATATAGTATTACATTTATATAGAGAGGCAAGATCAAGAGATACCTTTGAAGCATTAAAATTCATAACCCATTTGTTGTGGATAATGCAGATCTATATATGATGTAAGTTTGGTTTCAGTATAGCTCTCCAAGACTCATTATACTTAGGAGAAATATTTAGTCAAATTATTAGTATATTAAATCTGATGATAAAACCACTACCATCTCTTATTTCATAGGAAAAATATATTAATTTCAGGGACACACAGAAAAATTTCCCACAAGAACAGGAAGAATTACAGTGGGGGAAAATAAAAGAAAGCTAAGCTTACTCTCAGGACAATTTTCAGCTTAATAGAACTGTCCACACCAGAATGATCCAACTGATAATTTTGTTCAAGTGTCATCTCAGGGTTCTTTAATAAGCGAGCAAGAGAAATCACCAAAGTTCCAAGGGCATTCTCCTTCTCTTTATCTTTGATCTAGAACAAGGAAAACAAAAGACAGTATAAATAGGCAAGACAAGTGACTCTTGGCAGTGATTTAAATCTTCCCTTTTCAGATTATATATACTGCCACTATGCGAATCAGCAGCAATTTCTCCATTTCGCATGGGAGCATTGAGACAAGATATATTGAAAGGAAATTCACCAATTAACAGGGCCATTTAAAGCTCTTTTTGGGAAATGACTACATTAACTTTCCTAATGGATGAAGAAAAGCTAATAGTCATGATGGGAGAGCTTTAACAGTAAGAGTAGAATCAATTATATGTGCGGCTAGAAACCTATCAAAGCATTCAAAGCTGACGTAACAGCTCATTTGGTCAATATAAGGCCTGAGGGCACTGGAAGAAAAGCTTCAAAAACAGGACTAATTAATATTCCCCAAATAAGACTGGGGTGGGCCATAGTACAACATGGTACTTTAGATGCTGCGATGCTGCAACTTATATTTTGACAAAAGTGATTCAAACTCTGTACTTGAAAATACACAGAAGTTGGGTTGTTTGTAAAATTGATCCATATTTTCATAGGTGACCCAGATTTATAGTAGGTCTTATAGAACAGGGGTCTCCATCACTAGGCTGTGGAACAGTCCCAGTCCATGGCCTGTTAGGAACCGGGTTGTGCAAGTGGTGGGCAAGCGAGGGATCTAGGTTGTAAGAGAAACCATCTTTCCCCCCCCCAGGCCACGGAAAAATTGTCTTCCATGAAGCCAGTGTCTGGTGCCAGAAAGGTTAGGACTGCTGCTGTAGAATATGGCTGTGGGTGACTCTGCCTTATTGGCTGGAAATGTGCTTATTAAAAACATTTCCAAACACATCATAAATGCATATTTTTCCCCCCAAAAAGCATAATAAGAGGAGACAAAATGGACAAATGGATGTCCACATTTTGGAATGTTCTATCAAATCAGTCGCAGGGTTAAGGTATATCTTTTAATACTTCACTACAAATGATTAATGATTTTTCTACTGGGTATTGATCCCCTAGATTGATTGATTGATTGAATGAATGAATGAATGAATAATCAATCCACTGGAAGCAGTTATTTTGAGATGTACTGGCACTGTCTCAAATTTTGGTCAGATACAGAAAAAAAAATCCACACTCATGCCCAACAGTCCCCTTCTCTCTTGCTATAATTGCAAGTGATGGTCATGAGTGTAGATCTATAAATCCCAGTTTTGCAATATTATTAGGGAAAGAAGAATACAAACTGACCTCCAAATGAAGAGACTGAGATGAAGCACTATGGACAAAGAAAGTGAATGCCTGCCTCCACGCAGGATCTTTAGTGAAATTACAAGTCTGAGGAAAAAGAAACCAGAATTGACATATAGACATTAGATCAAACAGGTTTAGGCTGCAATCCAGTTCACGTAGGCATCTGTCTAATTAGAAATGGATTAGAATTGCTCTATTCTGCATTCACATCAGCTCAGTTTTCCTGGGTTCAGTGGGACCTGGTTCTAAGTGTACAGAGCTGTTCTCTAGCAGGATGGAACATTTGGTTTCCCAGGTTTACTGAACTACAACTCTTTGAGTCTCTGCCAGTATGGCCTATGTGGAGGAATTCTGGGAGTTGCAGTTGAGCAACATCTGGAAGGCCACCACTTGTACTACCCAAAGGAGACATGACTCAAGCTTTATATATCAATGACTATCACTTTGTTTTCTTTCACCAGAGCTATTCAAAGAATTGTTTTCTATCTAGCAGATCCACAATAGAATACAGGTAGTCTTTGACTTATAACAGTTTGTTTAGTGACCATTTGAAATTACAAAGGCACTGAAAAAAGTGACTTATGACTTAGGACCACTTACAACCGGTGCAGGCTCTGCATGGTCACTTGATCAAAATTCTGACTCATATTTTGACAGTTGCAGTGTCCTGGTTTGATGTGATCACCTTTTGCGACCTTCTAACAAGCAAAATCAATGGGGAGGCCAGATTTATATAACTGTGTTACTAATTTAACAACTGCAGTGATTCACTTAACAACTGGCAAGAAAGATCGTAACGTGGGACAAAACTCACAACAAATGTTTCACTTAGCAACATAAATTTTGGGCTCAATTGTGGTCATAAGTTGAGGACTAGCTCTATTAAATATTCATGCTGAAATCTGACAATTGAATAATCCTTGTGTAAATGATGCTCTGAGCAAGGTGGCTTACTTTGACCCTGAGGGAACAGGAATAACTTTGCCACTTGTGCAGAGGTTTAAATATACCATTAATAAGACCACAGTTGATCTTGAGACCAGATCAATTAATCCTGAATTTAAAGTGGAGCAATAGGATGTCTCCTTTCCACCCCTTTAGGAATGAAAATTCGCTACCTAAAAAGCCGCTTCCAAAGAACAGCTCAGATTTTGATGGGCTGGTTGGAATCTACTCCCACCATGCAATCCAGACAGGTCTTTCAGTCTCCTTGTTGTTGACATAGGGGCACAGAGGATTTATTTATTTATTTACAAAGTTTGTTTCTTGCTTTTTCATGATTAAGAACAATGACCCCAACATGGAAATACTTGTTAAAGCAATACTCCATCTTCAGCATGGGGGACCAGATACTCCATAGTGGGGGCCAAGCATTTGTATGCACCAAGGGCTGTTTTTTTGTTGCCTTGATCTTTAGAAATCTGAACTCCAACTTGCAGTGTTCGTCATTTTTGGTCATGCTATTTAGGCTATTGGGCTGTTCAAATTCCCTGACCTTTCTTTTATCTTAAAAACATTTTGGATACTTTTGAAACAATTTTTCAGAACTTAGTTATCTCAAACTCTTTTTTACCTTATGAAAAAGAAGATGATGTCTGTTACCTTGCTTTTGTGAGTTTTGTTGCCCAATGTGAGCAGGACAAAGGAAGAAGGTTCTTTTTCTATCTTCTGTCATATTTACAATTTTGAAATAAAAGACAGTATTAATGGCAAGATAACATTCACAAGAGAATAAAAAAAGAGAAAAGATATAATATTTACTCTATTGTTCTAAAAAAGATTGGAAGAAGGATTAGAAGCCTAAACATGAATCAAAATTTAGTATTTACATGTTATTCAGCATTTATTCTTGGCAAAGGTTGAATTAAAGGCAGAATTTGAGTTTGGCACATAGAAAACAATTATAAATATTGCTGCTTTTTCACTGCAAATATACTGAATGCACCCCAATACATCATTCTTCCTGAATATGGAACAGATCAGACGTGCCAGATGAGTCTCCATTCATTCACAATAATGCTGGAAAATAGCTGGATTGGTTGGAGATAATGGAAATTGTAGTTCTATAGATCAAATCACAAATGGATAGGGAAGCTGAATTATGTCTTAAACCAAAGGACAGTGTGAGAAAACCCTTAAAGAAAATTGAAAGTAGTGTATGGCTAAATTGCAGGTTATATTTGCATTACAATGATGGGACACTGAAGCATTGACAAACATCACCTGCCTAGTCCTAAATTAGTAACAAGAAAAATGAGAGTTATTTCTTCAAAGATTTTAAATTCATCTCATAATTTGAGAAGCAATTGCTGAATTTTGAATATATTGATTTAAAATATTTGTAGAACACAACTCTGAGCAGCTTACAACAATATAACTGCAAAAACCATAAAACCAAAAGTAAAAACCTGGCACCTCAATCATCCTCACACAATGGCCCCCAACCATCCATAGGCTCCTTCCACTTCACCCTATGCTTGAGTTTTGATGACTACTGCTCAAAGAAAAATGATATAAATAAAGCCAAACCTCATATATATGTTGGATTTGTTTGTTGCCTTGAGCTATTTGTAAAAATAATGGAGGCATGGATACCAATAAATAAATAAAGATTGCTTAATCTTTGTTTCAACATTGCTTCACCTACGCATTTATTTCAAATATGTAGTATGGAATGGAAAGGCTGGGCCCATCTCCAGTCTATTTATGGTGCAACTGAGGTCAACTTGCCCCTCTTGATCATCTAGTAAAAGCAGGGAGGAGAGCAGACTGACAGCTCTGCCCAGTTTAGCTGGGTTGAGAGTTAACCTCCACTTAACCAATGATGGTGGATAAAGCAGGTCATCTGTTCACAGGGATATTTATAATCTGGCCTAGATAGTTGCTGAGGTGAGATTTTTCAGTCAGTGGGTTGGCTGGCTCAAAATTGAAATCTTTGCCTGATGCTATACCAAACATTACATCCATTGTAACTCATATGGCCAGTCTATTGTATTCCCACTTTACACAAATCTTGGCACTGGGCGGATCTTTGGCCATTTTTACATTTAGTACCATTTTTTTTTTAAAAAATCTTCTAGTATGTATTAAATCCATAATGTATTCAGTTCAATACCCAGATAGAAATAAGAGGCATTTACCTTGAGATATCTGTCTTTTCTGTATTTCTTTGCTCCATATTCACCATTGGAATATTCCAATTGATTTTTCTACATTAGGAAAGAATTTTGAATGAAAAAGGAGTTTCAGAAAATTATGTGACATGACAGTACAGGATTGCTTCCCCCAGAAGTCTTACCTAGGATTTTTGTAGGACTATTTTCTATCTGGTCTGTTTTATTTGGGTTGATTGGCTTTGTATATTTATGATTCTGTTCTAGTTTCTGCTGCTTTTAGTTTATTTTCACCCTTTTAAACTTAATATGTCTTCAAAATTAGTAAATCAATTGAAGGGCAGTCCAAAACGGTCTAACGTTAGTCAGGAATGAAAGAAGAACTAATGTTGCCAGCAATGATAATCTTAGAAGACAGCTAGAAAACAAGTAGCATGGCTAAGCATCTAGTAGGAAAAAAGTTCATCTACCAATGAAGCAAAACTAAAATTCTGGATTATAAAAAACAGCAAGTGGTTGATGCCAATAAGTTGGGAGATCCAAGACCACTTAAATCAGGGGTGTCAAACTTGCAATGTCACATGATGTGTTGTGACGTATCGTGACTTTTTTGCCATTGCTGGCAATGGGATGGGCGCAGTTTCGGTATGATGTATCCAGCCTATGGGGTGGCAGTTTGATACCCCTGACTTAAATAAATTATGGACAAAATAGGCAACTTATGACTCTCTTGAAGTTGCTGAAATATAACCAGTAGCAGTCCCAGGTAGCATGGTCAATAATTAGGAATGCAGGGAGTGACAAATCAGCAACATCTGGGGGAATCTCTGAAAAGCTTAGAAAAGGGAAAATGTCATCAGTTAACTTTATAATACTTTGCAGCCTACCTTGTCCTGCTAATGAGATACCACTGATTCTCTGCTTTGTCTTTTAAAACCCTGATTTCCAACTGTATTATACCCACAACATTGTTATTTGTTACACAGGCATATATGCCATGCATTATATCTAATTCTGGCTTAGCAAGGCATAAAACATATGTCAGGTATATAGGTGTGCTTTGCCACTGCAAATCGCATCTTGTACAAGTAGCAAGCATAAACATGTAAACATTTAAGTTTATGTGACCAGAGAATATGTGAAAATGTTATTTATTTGTTTACTTACAGGAAGGTTTAAAGCACTGTCCAAATATACTATGAGCATTCCGGTGGCAAGACCATTCCTATCCTAAAAACAAACAATTCCACAAAACAATAATATACACATATGAACACTACAAATATTTCAAGGCCCTCTTCCATCCTCTAATAATTAGAGGGTAATAGAAACATTGCCCAATAGTGTGATATTACCCCAAACTCCACAGAGATGCAAATCCTGCCCAATCAATGCAACTCTGTTTGCTACAATGATGGTTTAAATACAGCTCTCAGAAGAAATTACACAAGATGGCAGACATACTGGGCTATTTTTTTGTTCTGAATTCTTTCACTTGTTTTGCAGCATATATTTCTTCTCAAGTCCCACAAAGCACTCACCTCGCTAAGTTTCTCTTGATTGGTGACCAAAGAAAACCACTCAAGCTTTAAGTGGACATGTCCACTTGCAATCTTGCTCAACGGAAACCACTTCACAAAAAGAAAGAAGCTATATCAGTGCCAGAAATACACACGAAACTGTATCTTTATATTGATCTGTATTCAAGGAGAAATTGAGGAACTCCTTTATCTTGATGTTTTATGCTTTCAGATGATACACCTTAAAACCTGCTATTTTTTAACTGTATTTGTTCAGCTAGAAAAGGAAAAACCATGATAGCTGAGGCGCAAGGACAGATGGCATTTAATTTTACAATCAATGATAGTACCCAAATAAATTATTTTTATGCTGCAGAAGGAAAGGATAGTCCTCCACCCTTTTTAGAAAGTCTTGTTCAAGTTTGACTCCTGGCAATGTTTTAGATACATCAATATAATTTTTTTGGCAATTATACAAAAGGGGCTTGTTCCAACAACCCCCCCCTCCAATGTTTTCTCAGTTTTGCAGCTCACCCCAAAACTCTGCAGTGCTGTTTAGTTTATCCTGAAAGCCAATCAGCCTCTGTAAAGAATTGGGGATCTTGAGGGAGGGGGCTGAAAGACATTCCTTAGGTTCCAGGAAATAAGATGGGATATAGAAAGGCTCCTCCTGATTCAATGGGATATAAGAGGGAGGAGCAATTAAAGTACAATCAGGCCTGTAAGATTCTGTTACAGATAGTCCTTGGCTTATGATCATAATTGAGCGTGGAATTACGGCTGTAAGCTGTGCTGGTCATTAAGCAGATCACCACATGACTATGCCCAATTTTATGTCCTTTTCTGTGGTGGTTGTTAAGTGAATATGGTGATTGCAAAGTAAGTCGCACAGTCATTAAGCAAACTTATTGTCTGTAAGGGGCATTTTTGTTGGAAACCAGAACTTCAAATGGTTGCTAAGCAACCAGTTGCAAGTCGAGAACTACCTGTGTTGTATCCTGTCTTAATAAAAGAATAGTTCTAGAGTTCCTGTGGAGTCTGTTTCCTGATCTGGTCTACTCTGAAGAGCTGATAGCTGCAACCTATCTGGACCCTCCACGTTCTACTCAAATGCAAATTGCTCCTCCATTTAAATACTTTCAAAATGCTAAGTATTCAATTGATCCACTTAGTCTCTTAAGAAGCAGAATAAGATCAGTACTCTTATTGTACTACATGTGCACTCATTTACTTGATCGTGCAAAGATTCTTGCACCACTTGATCTGTATACTTGCACACATACATACCTGTGTGCCACAAACCCTCAGTAAAGTGAAATTTCCCTTGAAAACTAATACTACCACAAAACTATTAATCTGTGAAGATTTTAACAACACTCTCCTATCTCACAGCCTATACAAACATTTCTAATTTCCCATAACAGCAATGAGAACTCAAATGCCTGAAAAAATGTAGTCCTGCTAACATTTACATTTAGTAAAATGTTTTTATAGCTGATAAGCCACTCATAAAATAGGCATACCTTTTAAGAACTACTGTGACACGTGTTAAGCCAAAACAAAATTTACCTCGTCAACAATTCTGTCTTTCATCACATCTACAAGGTTTATAACCAAGCTGTGAAAAAAATAAAAAGTCACACAAAGGAAATCTTCTGGGACAGTCGTATTTGTTTTCATAATGAATAGGTACCACATGCTGCTATGGAGGCTTATAGCATCTTATACTGAGCTGTGCTTTTTTTTAAAAAAAAAAATATATATATAGTATCTCCTATATAGGTCCGTGAAATATTCTGACTTCTAATAACTGAATGCTCCCAAGCATGTCTACAAAGAGCTTATTTTTGATCCCGAGCCTAGTTCAACCATAAAGATTGTGAAAAAAAATAAGCTCTTTGTAGACAAATAATAATTGACATTGTTCTTCTTCAATAGATGTAATATGCCTAGGCTGGAAAAACATGGAGTTCTCTGAGACTAGAGTGGTTTCTTCACTTACAAAACCTAGTAACGCTGTGTATTTCTATTGGATATTCTATGTAAGAATTCTTTGAAACCACAGCCCAGTCCATGAGTAATTCAAGTTGAGCAAAATTCTAGCTTGTTAAGATTTATATTTAATAAGAGAAGAGACTTTCCATTGCAATGGAACAAACCACTACAAATTCTACAAGTGTAGGAGAAGAGGCAGAGTCTAGGGGTGGAGTCAAGAAAAAAATCAATCATGATTCATTACATTCCAACAAGCAATCCGAGCCCAGCCTCCCCTTTAATTCTGTTAACTCTTATGTAACACCAATTTATTGCTGGCTGTTAGTTAACTAGATTTTTGTGTATAGGAATAGACCATAAATCATCTTAACCGGAACCTAATGTGTGGTCCTGATTTTTCATGCCTGGCAATGACTGGCTTAGTGGAAATCAGCTATGTGCATGCAAGTTATGGTGATAGACAGGCACGTGCCATATTTACTAATAAAACAATCTGGGGTGACGTGCCAGTGACAAAACACCCAGAACCAACTCATATTTTACTGACTTTTTTCTAGAACAGAAAGTGACATGAAAAAGCACCATTTAGGCTCAACTTCAATATGCAATATGTATATTGACAAGTAAAAGGTATAATTTTTCTTGGGATTGTACAACACACATTGGAGGAATAGATATTTTTTGTATCAAAAGTTGTGCTTCTTTTAAAGCTCAGATCAGAAGATGAACTGGAACTAATTCACCCCCAACATTATACTTCTTTATGATGACTTTTTTTGGAAGCAGGAGCATTCAAACATGCAATACTCTACCTGCATTCAGAAAGGTTATGCACAAATCAAAAATATTCGCTGTTTCTGAATGCACAGAAATGACCATACCAATTTCATTGACTCTAAGCTGCCACATGGCAGAAAAAGACACAGTATAATTTTAAACACATACAAGGGGAAATCTGTATTCCTTACCTGCCCAAAAAATCATCTTTATCTGGATCTTCATCATAAAGATCAACTTCTAGATCTTGACCGGGTACTTCATGAACAACAAACTGAAATGAATGAAAGGAAAATTAAGTAACAAAAGAGCTAGAAAGCCATGCCCACCCCAGCTCCAGCAATGTGAAAAAAGTTGCAATACATTGAGACATATCACATGATGCAGCAAGTTTGACACACATGCACTAATGCCGAAACAGACTTCTTGGTGAAACAACAACAAAAAACTTTCAAATATCCTTTAATTTATTATACTGACTGGTTTAATTGAAAAGCTTTTTTCAAGAGAATTTATTACAGTAATTCCAAAAGCTTCATGAAAAAGCCTTTCAAATAGCCTTTTTCTCACTTTCTTTAAAACAACAGGACAAAGCGGACAATATTTAAAATGGGTGGGTTTTTTCCCTTTTGTAAATTAGTATTCCATTATTCCTGTAAACTGTTTACTCCTGTAAATTAGTTCGCAATTAATCCATTTCTGTTGCTGGCAACAAGACATATATTTTAATGACTTTTGGATGCTTAGGACTACAACGCCCTTAGACATGAAGCAAAATAGCTGACATTCAGGGATTCTGGGAGTCAGAGTCAGAATATCTGAAAAGTATTTGGTTGCCTATTCCTGCTGAAATACTGTTTCCTCAATCACTTGATTATATTCCTTATTCAAAGTATTTACAGAAACAAAAAGTCTTTTAGAACATGTTTAGTTTCAAAAATACATTCAGATAGTCTATATTCCTATATTCACCAGGAAAAAAAAACTTCCCCTACATTCTGTGGGGCTTAATTTGGAGAAGGCATATATAAAATTGTTGCTAATATATGCAAAACTCCAAGACACAACCACTGACCTGTTTCAGCATTAGGACCTGATCTAGCATTATGTGAGTCAACTTCCATAATAATTTGGGTTTTTTTTCCCTTCCCCATTTCTCCCTTGCACTGTTTGAGATACTGTATGTACCATTTCAAATCTGTTACATAAGATTCAGGAGGTGGGTGATATTGCAAATAATCGCCAGCACTTTGTTTCTAAAGAGACAAGGAGAAGTATCACCTCAAACATTTCATTCCAGATGGGATTCAGGTCTCTTTGTACTGTTTTGCTCCGGAGTTGCACCAGACCAACTCGAAGGAGAGCATAAGGATCTGATTTGCCCCTGATTGCCCCAAGGAAGTTGTCTTTTTCCACAAGATTTTCGGCTTCCAAAAGATACACTCTTAGGACTCCCTTGAAAACATATAATTGTTAAATATTATGTAAAATGTTCATCCTAGGGGGATCTCTCTGATATATAGTATTATCAACATATCATAAAGGAAAATGGGGAATGTCTCGACCCACAAACCACAGAAGCAATTTAAATGAGATTTGCCAGCAGAACATTTAAATTTATTAGAAAAATCTTTGTTGTTATTTTGCATTTTGCTTTTATTACAAGCCTTACATCAATCTCTAACAATCTTTCTTTGTGCCTCTTATTGTGGTGGATGAGGAGAAAAGCCAATAGGTTTGCTGTTGATAATTCTCTAGTGAATTGGAGAAGGGGGGGGAACACACACAATGCCTTTTTTAAATTATTTACCAAAATAAACTTGCACTAACTATAAGTCTGCTGAGAATTTACTGAGCTTCATTCATTCTGAGCTGATCTCCAAATCAGGATGGTTTTTTTTTAATCAAAAGGAAGCTTTTCCAAACTTTTTAAAGTTATCTGATATTCTGGATAAAGAAAGGGATTGAAAAGAAATGAATAGGCATTTGCAATTATTAGTTAAGACAATTAGATTAATTTTTGCCCTATAACTTTCTCTCCACTGAGCTAATTCAAATACAAGCATGGGGCAAGTTTGCAATCTCCCCTTTAAGTGTCAGTACACTGCAGGTGTGTAAAAGAACAAACAAGTTGGCGTAAGCCTCACTCTTTAGAAGGGTCCTTTTTTCTGTATTTTGAGCCAGGCGTCTCACTAACAAAGCACAACTCTGACCCCAGACTTACACGTGGAATTGGAAACCGCAACTGAGTCACATTCATGTTCTTTTTCAATGGGATTGTGAGTCTATTTGGCAACACCAGCCGGGCAGCAATGAGATCTTGAATTAGCGAGTCTGACAATAAACTGAAATAATAAAGGAGACATTTAATTCAAAACAAAATGGAAGAGTACATGTGTGTCACACTGCTCTACTGAGCTTGTGACTCTTGTATTGTTTGTAGACTCAATCTTAGCAGACTGCCAAGGCCTGTTGCCCATCAAGAGATCTGGGATACGGGGACGGGGAAGTAGAAGGGATGCGTGCTCAGTTTTATTTTCAGCCTGAGAGTTTAGGATGCTTTGTTACAGATAGGTAAGTCATTTAAGACAGAACATCTTGTCTGCCAAAGAAAACATAGAAAACAAGGTGCAGATAAGCCCGAGCTAGTTATGCCTCTTATTTTATGCCTTCAACATGCACTTGACTCTGGCAAATGCCTGAACAGGTTCCTGCTGTTTTCTTGGCAAGATTTTCAGATGCAGTCTGTGCTTGTCTTCTTCCTAGAAGAGAGAAGGACTGGACCAATCACCCATCTGGGTTTGTGTTGAAGGCAGGGCTAGAACTCATTCTAGGATTCTAGGTTGGTGATTTAATCACTATACCAGTGTTTCTCAACCTTGGCAACTTAAAGATGTGTGGATCTTGACTCCCAGAACTTTTTTCACCAGCTGACTTTGCAGGCACTAGATCTATATCCACTTGTATCTTATATTAAATTCTTTTATTTCAACAACTTTTATTTTTCTTATCAGTAAATGTAAAACAACAAAACTCCTAACCCTAACAAATTGACAGGCAATTGTTTTCTGGAAGCAAAAACTCTTCTTCTAATGGGATAAGTACAATATTTTTCCTTCATTAAAATAACCAAACCAAAATCAATATAGAGAAACACAAATACCCAAACACATCTTTACTTTCAAAACCTCAACAGAATAAGGTAATTAACTTTCCTGTGGATATGACATTTCCTGTGGATATGACATTACTTTTGTTCTGATGAGGCTAAAGTAGCAATGCAAGCAAAAATTCCCACTAGAAAGCAAACAGCTAAAATGGCCCTGACATTTCTAACTAGAATTACAAAACAAACTAAGAATCTGTAAGATTCTATGTGGTCCCTACTTGCCGGAATGTCTATGAAGGACATAGCTTCTATTTGATTGGCCCTGTGCTCACCCACAATAAACTGTCCCTGTTGTAGAATTGCCATATAACATCTCTTCCATTTAATCTCCATTTTGATATTTTATTTATTTGATATTGTTGTTTTAAATAATTCAAGGCGGTGAACATACTTAATACTCCTTCCTCCCTGTAACAACAATAACCCTGTGAGGTGAGCTGGGCTGAGAGTGACTGGCCCAAAGTCACCTAGCTGGTTTTTCATACCTAAGGCAGGACTAGAACTCCCATTCTCCTGGTTCCTATGACAGCACCTGAACCACTAAACCAGGGGTAGGCAACCTTGGCTCTTTTATGGCTTGTGGACTTCAACTCTCAGAATTCCTGAGCCAGCATGGCTCAGCTTGGAAACCTCTCCCTTTCCCCTCAGCGTGGCTGGCTCAGGAATTCTGGGAGTTGAAGTCCACGAGTCATAAAAGAGCCAAGGTTGCTTACCTGTGCACTAAACCAAACTGGGTCTTTAACATTTAGATTGTTCCCACTCATTTGGAGGGAGGCACTTACCTAATGCCTGGAGCATCCAACAGGTTGGTTACCCCCGCCCAATTGATTTCCAAGTGCTACAATAAGAATTAAACCAACAACAAAAATGCAAGGTTAATAACTGAAAACAGAACTGGTTTTAAATTATTTGTCAAAGTCAGGAACATGGAAGACTATTTACATCAAATTAGCCATATGGTCCATGAGATCCTATTGGAGATGGCAGGAAAGGAACCTGCAATCTTTTCTCCATGCAGAGCAGATAGCATACCATTGAAAAAGTCAAGAATATTGAGTATAATAAAATCACCATAATTATACAATAAAATGATTCAGACATTTAAGAGCATCTAATGAAGCATCCTTCATTCATCTAATATGTTTATGGTATTTTAATTCAACATGATGAGTATTGTGTGGCCATTCTGAGTGAATTCAGACTGTCAACCACTCAAGCCTTGAGGAATTATGTGGTCATTTCTATTACCCACCTATTATAAAAGGCATTTTGGCTACTGCTACAAGTTCCATGAGCAAAAAAACTAGCCATCTAGAAGGCAGCCTCAGGGCAGTAACATAACTGAATGGTTTGCATTCAAAGGAGATGAATAAGCATCATCAAGACCTTGGTTCATTTCCTTCACTGGAGCCTGTGATTCTGACTGGATTCTTCTCATGCCCTTGCAATGAAAGGCTGAGACAATCGGCATGTGTCAATGTTCTAAACATGACACATGTCTGTCAGATGTATGTACTTTCCTAATGCCAGAACTCACATAGCTGGTTTTAGGAATAACATGCATTCTGAGTGCTGAATTATCATAGCACTGTGGGGACCTTCTTCCCTGCTTCCTCCATGGGGTTGGAGATGACTACCAGGGGTTCAGAGACCTCTTCCACGAATTCTACTGTTCAATAAAGCATCTCTTTCAATGCTTTTAGCCTTTTGAATTTTAAATGATTTTTGTTTTTCCTTGTAAATTTTAATTTGTTCTTAACTCTTGTTTTCAATTTGCATTTGGTTCATGTGTTTATATGGTTTTATTCGGGTGCTGTGTAAAGCACCCAAAGTAACTTAAGTGAGATGGGCCATGTAGAAATTTAATCAACAAAATACAAAAAAAATAAATACAGCATATAGGTGAAGATGGTGTCTGAACATGTGAGACTGTGAACATTAATTTTAGTGCAATGAGGCAGAGAGGAAGCTGAGGAAGTTTAAGCCAAAGCAATTTTTGGAACTAATACTATTTTTTCCCTAGTATACAAAATAATTGAAAAGTCAGAGTGATGTAAAGGTCTCTAGAGCACAGTATAACAGCTGTGATCTTATGCATACTGGTGTGATGATAGAGGGTTTCAGATGATGCCTTTCTCTTATCATCCTGTACTTTGGGTACACAGGCTGTACGTTAATCGAAATAGACTACCGATAGATTTACAGATTAGTTGGCTTCTGTAGCTCCCCCACCAGACACCGTTCAAATACATGAAACAATTTTTTTCCCATACTAGAGTTTTAATTTACAGTTGTATGGCAGTTTGCTGTGACAGTGTACTGAATATTTGGGAGAGAGGGAAGCACCAAAATTTGATGGTTCCATTAAGGACACCTAAGAGGTTCAGCCTTGAAGACATAGTCCAGGGATTTGGGGGAGACGCTGACCATTAGGAGTAGAAGTTGTATGAGATGGAATGAAATCCACTCATTAGATAGATTGGTTTACACCACTTGCACCTACATGGAGAAAATCAAAATCTCCTTTAATACAAAGCAAGAAAATTGGAGAAGAAGTTACTTTCTCAATAGGTTAGGGATGGACTGAGGCAGGGGTACTGCAATCTGGCTCACCTGAAATGACTTATCTTCATCCTGAGGCAAGCTGGCAGCACACACATGCCCTTTTAGAAATGGTTTCAGATATGTGAAACTCGTGCTGAAGAAACATGTGTTTTGGCTTAATGTTTATTGATTTAAATGGCTCTTGAAAACCCACTTGGTTCTTGAAAGTTAACCTGAATAGAATTTTTTTCTTACACTATTAAATGTTGGGTTAATTATTTTTAAATGGTTTCATTTTACTTTAATAAGGGCTACTACTAGGTTACATAATATTCTAAATTGCTCTTTCAGTGCTGATTTTATTCCTTAAAGTTTTCATACTTCTATTTCTATCAGTGAGCTATCATGGAGGGTACTTCCTTGAAAAGCTACAGTGAAATATTTGGAATTAAATTAACCTAACTTATTAAATACTACTATCTCTGAACAGTAGTATGTTGGCATGCTTTAAAAAGCTATCTTCCTGTTTGGTTTGGTTTGGTTTGGTATTCTTTGTTTAAAATGATGTTTGGGAAGAAGAAATAATCTTCCTTATTTCAGAAGAACTTTCTCAAGTCTATTATAAAACAAACTGACCAATGTGTAAATCAGCAGTCCTAATCTGGAAGTTCACTATTTCTAAATTGGAAAAAAAATGAAGAGTGCTAATTTGTTAATTTGACTTATAAATTAAAAGTCTTCTCATAAAATTTGTTGGTTGGAAAATGTGCTACCAGACTCCTGGTTAGTCTAACACAGCTGTCCTCTTTCTATTTCTATAATGGTGTATCAGAATTGACTTACAGGTTTCTGTAGAAAAAACATAGTTACAGCTCCAACAAAGGGTATATCTGTCAGAAGGGGCTCCAGAATTACTCGTAACGTTCCATGTAACTGCAAAAAAAAAAAAAAGTTGATTTTTTTCCAGGAAAGAAAAAAATAGGAAATATCTAAAAAAATGTTTCATAAGTTGTTCTGTATCTACCTGTAGTCCTTTCACTCCTACTTTAAGCTTGGAGAGCTCCATGTGAATTTCACAATCCCCTATATAACTGAGAAGGTGTTTCAATTAGCAAGGTATTAATTAGGAGGGGGGAGAACAAAGTAAAAGACAAAACATTGTATTTTCTTATTAATTTAAAGGAATTTCTTATATTGTAATAGTATGAGATGAAGAATAAACTCTGATTTAAAAGGCATAATAGGAGTATGTATGAATACAGTTTTAGACCAGAGATACTATATTACATCACATTTGCTTTGTGAAGCAGATAACGTATTACAGTACTTTATTTTTTATTATGCTAATGTTTTTCTGCTACATATAGCGTAATAAAGACTTTAACATTTATTCAATTATTTATTTGGGCATATCAAGTAATATATTTGCCAGATTAACCCAATTTCCTTTATTACTATATAATTTTCAGGAAATCTGGTAAATTTGATCAATGTACAGTATCTATGTTTGTGTACGTATACAGTATACATATGAATGCATAAATACACATACGTACAAATAGACATCAAGAATCATAGTGAAAATGTATCTACTTTTCTCCTTTGGTTGCCTTTTTTGTTAAACAATAAGATATCATGCATTAATATCTTATTATTTTTATTTTTTCCTGCCATAAAAATCCCTTAGTGAAAAAGGGGTAGAATAACTGTACAGAATTTACTAATTGCAATAATCAGAAAACACTCTGGAATTACAAAGAAAGATAATGACCCATTCAGATTCAAGCATTATACTGAAATGAGATTAACACTGCTTCATAATAGGGCTCCAATGACATTCTACAAATTGTAACTCCTATTCTTGCTGCTTAGCATCTCAACAAATATTGCAGAGAATTTGTGACAGGAATAGCAGTTCACACATAAAATACCTAAGAAAGGTCACTCACTGGTTAATCAAAGTTTCCAATCTTTACACTGTATCTAACATCAAGTATACATGCACATGAGTTTATATTGGTTACTTCAACATATTGCAGATAAACAATAAACTGTTATCTAATAAATAAGATTCTTGCGGCTTGATGGCAACAAAACTAATTCATTTGAACAGCAAAATAGATGGCTCATTAAATAAATAAATACATACATACATATATAAATTTAAAAAATGATCACCAATACGTTGTTCCATACAAATTCCATGTTACAAAACCCCAACTGTACTGAGCCTTTACACACAAAAGTTCTTTCTTTGTGGAGATACAAGACCATCAAGCATGAACTTTTAAATTTGAATGTGTTATAGGAACATTTGGGAATCCAAAAAGCACAAAGGCATTGTCATAAATGTAGCACTGTCTTACAGCCAGGCCCATAAATAGGAAGGACTGTAGAGCCTTCCTATTTAGAGGCCAAATCTCTTCTGGCCTCTAAATGTTTCCAGTTGAATAGTATGTCCAACTGAATGACTCAAAATAGTTTGCCCAATAATGTGGCTCAAACAAGTAGCCTCTCATCTCCAGTTCTTTGCCTGTCCCCTTCAAAAGTTTTGGTCTAGTTACAGAGCTATTTACAGTCACATTTACTTTCAGTCTTTGCTAATAATGCACTGTCATGTCATAGTGAAAGATGGGAAGCATTTCCAAGAAAGAAGCTAAGTCAAATTTAGTTGACCTCCCATGTCACAACATCATGGAACTGTTTAAACTAAGTATGCATTTCCTGTGTGATCCTTTCTGCTATCAAAATGTTTAACAGAGATGTCACATTCTGCTGTCAAACTGTTTTTGCATTAACCCGATGACAGCATGCTTACTGGGCTCCTGCAGCCTTCTAGAATGTAAAAAGCCTTACTTAAGATTGTTTTGGTATTCTAAGGCAGCAAGAAGTAATAATTTCCTTTAACACACCATTCAAAGTGTACTTGCAATACAGTAAAAGATGTTTCAGTGATCAGTGTCCATTAGCAAAATCTAATTTTATTTTCTTTTTGGAAACTTCATGATTATTTTTCAAAAATAATAATGTTTGCCTGTGTAACCAAACAAAGCAGATGCAAATAAGTCTAATGAACATAAATAATTATAGAGTCTTTGGTGCTCTCTGGACTTGGTTGTTTGTTTGGGGACATTACCCAAGTAAATAACATCATCAGTACTAGTGAGTGTGGGATTTGTTCCCTGTTTATATAAAATAGGTTGCCCTGCCAGTTTTGGTGGGGATATGGTTTTCTCCTTAGTTCATTGATTAGGGTAATGTTTTCTGCTTGATTGTTTGTCTGGTGTTAATCCCATTGCACAACTGCCAACTATCTGTTCCTATGTGCAGAATGAGGCAGAAAGTCAGCATCCCCTGCCTTATCTTAAAAGTCAAAAGGCCCTAAACGGAGACACAGGAAGGATGGAGATGGTCAGCTATTTCTCCTGACATCATCAGTTCTGACGCAGGAGACTAGGTTACTAACATGGTTGGGTCTGGGAGTTGAAATCCATATATCTGGAAGGTCCCAGGCATACATGGCAGAGTGCTGGGCACATGCATGAGATATTTCAGTGGCATAAGTGGCATTGAGGCCTCGGTGAAATGAATCTGAGTTCCCACCTCATTTGCTAGATATAAGACTATGGTTTTAAAGTCTTTTGCAGGCCAAGAACATACTTGAAGATAAGTTCAAGATATGTTTTCCTGGTTGTATCTACCAACCTACTAAAGCAGACAGGGACAGCAGGGGGATATTATTGTTTTTGTTTGTTTGTATATTGGGTTCTAGACTCCTGCGAGTCCCTTGGACTGCAAGGCGTTCAAACTGGTCAGTCCTAGAAGAGATCAACCCCGACTGCTCTTTAGAAGGCCAGATCCTGAAGTTGAAACTCAAATACTTTGGCCACCTAATGAGAAGGAAGGACTCACTGGAGAAGGGCCTAACGCTGGGAAAGATGGAGGGAAATAGAAGAAGGGGACGACAGAGAATGAGATGGCTGGATGGAGTCACTGAAGCAGTAGGTGTGAGCTTAAATGGACTCCAGAAGATGGTAGAGGACAGGAAGACCTGAGGAATGTTGTCCATGGGGTCGCGATGGGTCGGACATGACTTCGCAATTAACAACAACAACAACAATATTGGGTTCTTATTTTTGTAAGCCAGCCAGAGTCATTGAGAGTCAGTGGGTGGCCATACAAATTTTCTTAAATAAATAAATAAAACTTTCCTTGGCCTTTGATTGGCTGGCTAAAAATAAACCAAAGAGTGAGTAAGGTGGGAAAAAAGGGATATTAAATTGTATTTAATTAATGGCACAGGGTCTCCTGCTTAAGCAGGGGGTTGGACTAGAAAATCTCCAAGGTCCCTTCAAGCTCTATTCTGGTTGAAGTTTAATGTCTTCATTAAAATTTAACACTTAATCCAAGAAATTAGAATTCAAGAATTCTGAGTAACAGCAACTATAAAAAAAATAGGCAAACATAATACAGCAGGGGTTCTCAACCTCGGCAACTTTAAGATTTGTGGACTTCAACTCCCAGAATTCCTCAGCCAGCAAAGCTGGCTGAGGAATTCTGGGAGTTGAAGTCCACAAGTCTTAAAGTTGCCAAGGTTGAGAACCCCTGTAATACAGGAATTCTAGCTAGCACTCTACTTTCAAATGAGACATCTAATTTAAACCATGACAGCACAACTTCCCACTTTTTCAATTCTTTTCCAAAGACAGGACATCTGCATCTCTTTTATTAGCATGCAAAATAACTTTCACTGTTAACTGTTAGTATTATACTCTGTGTATTTAATAATTTTCTCTTTCCCAATAAAAATCACAGTTCGGTGGCAACATCTGTCAAGCCTGCAGAAACTACACCCATAAGCTTGGAGAAATGCACACCACAGTACAATAGAAATGATTTCCCCTGTATTATCTCTTCTAGGAAAGGTTCAACAAAACAAATATGCATATTTCATAAGACTGTATGAAAAGTAAATTCCGCTGAACAGACAGTTATGTGCTGAGTGCCATCAAAGTTGATCTTCCATCTTCAAGCAGTGAGATCACATTACCAATACAGAGAACAAGGAAATAAATCATGTGGCTATATAATAAGTTGTGGATCACTGAATGTAATGAAAGCACTTTTCACAAATATTTGAACAAGGCAATATTGAGAGATTAAGCAAACCAAGAGAGTGTCAATTATAAGTAGCAACACACTCAGGTTTATATGTAAAATAGCTATAAATATTGCACTTGCCTGTATAATAATCTAAACTACTTAAGATAAGCAAACATTGTAATGTGATAAACTAAATAATGGGGAAACAAGCACCTATAATGCTGTTCTAAGAGGATGTTGGTAGTTTGTCATGTTGCCCCCATATTTTCATATTAGCAACATGCATCTTGTTATCCCTGACAGTCTAAAGCACAGGTGTCAAACTCACCACGTCACGTGACGTGTCGCAACATATCGTGACTTTTTTCACATTGCCGGAGCTGGGATGGGTGCAGCCTCTGATGCAACCGGCCCGTGGGCCAGCAGTTTGACACCCCTGGTCTAAAGGAACTAAAGCAGTAATGAGTCAAGGAAGCAATGTGGACAATGCATAAGAAGGTGGCTTGACGATTTGAATAGCTCCACCTTTTTTCTCAGAACTGGAGGAAGAACTTAGCACCTGCTCCCAATCAACATATAAAGATGTGTCCTCCAGGATGCCTAACTGGATGAGCTGGTTTTGAATCCTTTTCCCTTGACTAGGCATCCTCTGTGAATCATGCAGGATTGTGGATTCCTGACAAACAAGACAGGTCTATTTGCAATAGAAAACTACGTTCTCACTCAAACTCTTAAGTGAGAAAACACCCATATCACTTTTTCATAAAAGGAGCCAGAAGAGAAATACTGTAGCTTTCTCCTACAGCCAAATAGATTACTCTCCTGATGTCAACAATGCATGTTATAAGGAGGAGGTTTGAAAGTATTCAGGCAGTACTTAGCTAAACATGGCTTCATTGAGTTCTATGTTTTTATATATTCAGGGCACCCAAGGACATAAACATACAATATCACAGATTCTTACATGCACAAAGTTCAAGGCAAATGGTATTGGCCACTACTATTATTACTTATTAATAATAATTACATGCCTAATCATCAATCTATTTCTAGACAGAAGCACAATAAACTTTCCACTTCAGAAGTAGTGACTTTTGCTGTATTCATACCTAAGATTTTTTTTAATGATTCTGTTCTTGTTTCAAGATATTCATTACATCTTGGTTTAATCAGATGCATATTCTCTGCTAAACATGGACTACGTTGAACAAACTGCAGGCATCCAATCAGCCCATTTTTTCCTATAAATATAGCCTGCAATCATTATCCTTCTTGGATAGTCTCAATCTAAGTTTCCCCATTTGAAGCAAACACTCATCTTTGTTCATTTGTTTGCATGCTGTACACTTAGAGAAACACCTCTCTAAACTCATGTTCATCATGCTAAATGTGCCTTTGCAGGCCACACGGTACCATAAGTTGTCTCTATTTCATTTTTATAGCATAGTATCAAATATATTTCTAGGCATTTAACAAAGTAGACCACAACTTACTTCTTGGTAAACTAGAAAAATGTGGGATAGACTCACCACCAGATAGATTTGTAACTGGCTGACAAATCATACTCAATGAGTAGTCCTTAATGGTACTACATCTACACAGAGGGAAGTAAGCAGTGGGGTACCACAAGGTTTCATCTTAAGCTCAGTACTCTTCAATAACTTCATAAATGACTTAGATGAAGGGATAGAAGGGGAACTCATCAGATTTGCAGATGACACTAAGCTGGCAGGAACAGCCAATACCCCAGAAGATAAGCTCAGGATCCAAAAAGATCTTGAGAGACTTGGACAATGGGCCTTATCCAACAACATGAAATTTAATGTGGAGAAAAGCAAGGTTTTACATCTAAGCAGGAAAAACCAAAGTCACAAGTACAGATTAAGTGAAATTTGGCTCAAAAATAGTAATTGTGAGGGCCACTTTAGAGTCCTAGTGGACCATCACTTCAACTCGAACCAGCAGTGTGCGGTGGCAGCCAAAAAAGCGTATGCAATCATTAGTTGCATAAACAGAGGCATAGAATCAAAATAACATGAAGTATTAGTACCATTTTATAAATCCTTAATAAGACCACACCTGTAATACCTCATCCAGTTTTGGTCACCACATTACAAAAAAGATGTTGAGACTTTGGGGAAAAAATGTAAAGAAGAGCAACTAAGATGATTAAAAGTCTGAAAACAAATATGTATGAAGAATGGTTGCAGGAATTAGGTATGGCTAGTCTAGAGAAAAGGACTAGGGGTGACATGATAGCAGTATTCCAGTATTTGAAGGGCTGCCACAAAGAAGAGGGGGTCAAATTATTCTCCAAAGCACCAGAAGACAAGACAAGAAACAATGGATGGAAACTATTCAAGGAGAGAAGCAAGCTGGAATTAAGGGGAAACTTCCTAACAGTGAAAACAATTAAGCAGTGGAACAGTTTGCCTTCAGAAGTTGTAGATGTTTCATCACTGGAGCTTTTTAGGAAAAGACTGGATGGCCACCTGTCTGAAATGATATAGGATCTCCTGCTTGAGCAGGGGGTTAAACTAGAACACCTCCAAGATCCCTTCCAGCTCTATTCTGATTGATTCACTTTAGGAAAAGCAAAGCAATCATTATTAACAATAAGATGCACAGAAAACTTCACTGTTCACAGATTATTAGGAAGCCAATTGTGCGTTTTCCCAATGATAAACCATAAGAAACAATGCAGTTCTATACTACCATATCTGCAAGTCCAGGATTACTTGTCTTCGATTAACTTCTTTGGTGTAGGTTTTCACTCCTTTAATTTTAGGACACTGAAAACAAAGCACACAACAGTATTACTGATGCAGCAATGAGAAATATATCAATAAGAAAGCCCCATTTATCTTAGCACAAATATAACAGCCAAACATCAAGCTAGAGCTATTGTAATTTTAAAAAAATCTGCAGAAAGAAAACAAAACAATGGGCAGGAGAGAAAGATTACAGAGTATTTTCTAATCTGCTACCCTTCAGAGATATTGCAACTAAACCTGGTATCATTTCCAGTCACCAGGGAGTTCAAAGATTTTTCTCCAACACATCTGGGAGGCATCATCTGGGGGAAGGCTGTGCTGTAATGCAGACACTAAGTTTGCGTTTTAAAATTCAAACAGCCAGAAATGTTAGCTGTTGAACTGAACAGAAGGAAACTCGAAATTTAAAAACTTCCAAGAAAACAGAAATTCTCATTCCAATTTAAGATTACTGAACAAAATTAAGTCTTTAAGTAATTGAATTGACAATGCAAAACATTTTCTTTCAATAGTATTGTGTGCATTTTTTAAATAACAAAGCAAAGGATCTTTACTCTTTTTATATTAATAAAACTAGTGAATAATGAACGGAAAGAGGATTTTTTTTAACCATTGATAACCCCGATAAATACAGACTACTTGACAACAACTAGAACAGGGTGGGAGAAAACATAAGAAAAGTTCAGAGTACTGCTTCCTACCGTAACAGGAGTTAAATTTTAAAGTTGCAGCATCTCTTTGTTATCTTTTTAATGCTAGCATCTTGAGGACAACCAAGTACAATCTGAAAGATTCTGAGAATACAGTACCTATTTTGAATATAATGGACAAAAGTTCACAATCCTTTTGCACAAACATCTATTCTTTATTACCCTACCTGCACTTTTATCTTTCAGTCAAGTAACTTAAGGAATGGGTTTGAACAGGATCATTTTATTGCAGCTATTATTAATAAAATGAATATCATAAATCATTGTATCTATCTTAAGCCTAAATGAACACAGAAAATACACTCATGAAAAACTAGTTTGGATGTGACAGTCATTTTCAAAGGCATCGCCTTACCTTATCTCCAAGATGGATTCTAGTAAATGTACATGTTTTCAGATGTACATTCTTTCCTCTGATTTTTGGTTCAAGGATTTCCTTAAATGTTTTTTCCATAATTGTTCCAAAATATGGCCAGAACTGTTCAACAATCTATTCATAAAACAACAAAAAGCTAAAATCACCACTTGTACATTACCATTGTTTACCATTTTTATTTTGAAGACAAAATGCCAACTTTGGAAATGTCTTTATGCTTCTAAAGTGATAGAACACACACTCTTTAGATGAAAATGAGCAGGTTAAATATTGTGGTATTTCTGAATTCAAACTGATAGTCTTGGCATATTACACACCAGATTTAACTGGCTGAAAAGAAGAAAGCTTGCATAATTGATGTGGCAATAACCAGGGGATAGTAGAGTAGAAGACAAAGGATTGGAGAAGGCCACAAAGTATCGAGATCTGAAAATAAAAGCTAAAAGATTATGGTGGTGGACCCCTGATTATTGGTATACTGGGTACCATATCAAAAAATCTTGAACAACACTTAGAAAATCTGCACATTGACAAAATTTCCATCTGACAATTACAAAAGGCCATCCTGCTTGGATCCGCACTTATGACACAGAGATACATCACAACACCCTAGGTTCTTGGGAAGAATTGGATGTGTATGAAGGCCAACACCAGCTAAAGAACTGGCAGCTATGATTTCACATTGTTGGGACAAGATTAGAAGATTCAGAAAAAATGATTTTCAAGCTTAAAACACACATTTGACAATACTGCTTTAATTTAAGCTGTGAATTAGATTCCTTCATGATTTCCCTGGGTTGCGTAAAATTTCCCAAAGTACTGAATAATTTTCATGCCAGGTATTCATTCTCTCCCTCTCCTCCCCCTCTTCTCGCTACTGCTATGAACTCCTAACATAACATTAGACCCTGTAGTTCAATATTTCACTTTTCCTCCGAATCTAATATGTAAAACTTATTACTTGGACATGGGGACATTTCATTCTATATGTCATATGAGATCAAAGTCTGGTGCTGATGACAACTTTTCCAGTCAGTTTACAGCAGTTTGATTGACACTGAGGATATTGTAGATTTGGGCCGGCAAGGAAGAGTCAGATGATTATAGAATAATTACCAGTTTTACGAAGATCTGCCTAAGAAGTTTCAGTGCTGAGCATATATTATAACATAAATGCTATGTCTAGTTAGTTTTGGTAACAATGATGGCTGCACAATTTGTTTTGGAGGGTTCCAGGCAAAGGCAGATGGCAATGTTTTTCAGCAGAAGAGAATGTCGATCAAACAAACTTCAGGGCAAACCCTGAACATGATACAAATGATACCCAACTTACCCCAGCCACTTAACTAGAGCAAACAAGCTTATTCACGGGTGATTCAACAGCCAAGTTACAAAGCAAACTTTGAAGCAGAAACATTTCAGCCTTATGCTTATCATGCTATAATTCATATCCAATGCCTTACCTTGTTCAGCCATTCTACCCGCTCAACATCTGGGAAGTGCACCTGTAAAGCAAGGCAAAGAAGAAATGAGTGAAAATTGACTGGATTATGAGAATTACTAAGCAAGATGCAAGTAAAGTGACAGGACTAACAAAGGACTATTATAAAGGACTATTATATAGCATGATTACATAGCAATACCAAAAGAGTCCCTTCATTTTCAGATTTAGATCCATTATGAGACAATTACATTTACAAACAGAGCTCCATGCTGAAAACGGAAGACAAGATTAATTCAGCTCAAAGAAATAGCTATAGCTTTTAGAAACAGCAACATTTTATATACAAGCAAACTAATTTCTGCTTATTATCTTGATGTTCAGGGGGGTACTTTTTATTTTATGGGAACTTAATTATTAGTTGTTCCAGAAACAGGCAATCAATCAATCAATCAAATCCAAAATTTAGTTTGTGGAACTTCCAGTTAAAAATCAATTAAGCAATATTTCTGAAAAACACTTCTGTCTGGCAGCTTCTTCTTCTGAGAATAGTCAATTGGAGTAAGTCAACCAACTATCCAGGAATCATGACAATGGCATCTATAGAAGCCCACAATTATCCTTAACATGCAATCCAAGTTCTCACACATTTAAGGGTGGAGATTACTTAAATACTGGGATTTTTTTACCTTCAATTTTTGTCACCCACGCTAATGTGAAATAAAGTGATTTATTTTGTCTTGTTAGTTTTATGCTAACTCTTCATAGTAAACCAGATTTATTGTACAGATAAAATTTGCGCACCTCAACTTATTAAAAAGTGAGCAACAATAAAGGCCTATTTTGTATTTTCATTTTAAGGTAATCCTAGTAAGTAAAATTGCTTTTCCCTAAAGTCTGTGATCAAATATCTTAATTAAAAGGGCCATGCATTCTTTAAAAAAAATTAACTGGAAGTCTGATCTAAATTAAGATTAGAGGATAATGTTTTTGCTTTTAATTGTATTAAATATTACAATTAGATAATTGTTAAGATTTCTAAGTGCCACCGATAACATACCTCATTATAAACAAACTTATGTAGCTTTAAAAAACAAAAGGGAAAAATAACAACTTTTCTAAATAATATTGATATATTGGAAGTGCTTCACAATCAGTGTTATTAATTTCCCTGTGCTTCTAAGTTTCCATTC